CACAAGGTACTAGAAACTTGCTTCAGTGATTGAGAATGCCTTCTAACAACTTTCTGCAATTTGTGACTTTCAGATATATTGGGGAACAATTCAAACTATTCATCCCACTGAGACAGTGTCAAGCTAATGCATTAAATATCAAAGTTCTTGCTACTCTTTCCCAATGTCCAGCCTAGTGGTTGAAGATCCTTATATGTGCAATCTTGAGGCCTGAAACTTAACACCTTTGTATTGTTTTCCTTGTTTTCCACCCAGCATATCCCCTAAACCAATGAGCAGACACTGAGAACAAGTCTGATATGATGGGGCTTTTTCCTCCAATAGGACGTGCTCAAAGAAAAAGTTATGTATGAACTGGTCAGGAGTGTTGAAACACTCCTCACAGCTTTGAAAGCAGGAACTAATTCTTTGTCTAATGAGTGTGGATGAAAAGATGCAACTAATTCAATTGTATCCACGCACTTGCTATAATCCAGGACTTGGTTATAAAATAAATGATTATCTCCATATGTGTATTTAACATGTAGAAAATAATGTTAGGATCATTATAGTAGATCTTATTCAGTATTGTTTTGTGCCGGTCAAATTCCATACAATATCTAAAAAGGGAATCTATGCTGTTCTTAGCTTCTTGTAGAATTGGGAATCAAATCCTTCTGTATTTCCCATTGTACAGACATTCAGATTAGAATGTTTTTTTTTTAATTGTGAATGAAAATGTATCTAAAAGTGTCTTATATTTTTCTGAAAGAACCTCATTCTACCAATTTAAAAATTAACATATTTTCTTGATATGATATTGAATCAAATTTGTTGAAAGAAGAGTCACACTTACTGAAAGAGTAAAATCTCATATTTTGCTTCCAGAAAATTGTACATAATAGTCCCTGAACTCTTGAGACACCTGCTTATATTATCCATTTTCAAAAACAATTTGTGCAGATGAAATTTTAGACTGTGATAAGAGTATTTGAATTAGGCTAAAATGGTGGCAGGAGGCAGTTAAAGAAATATTTGAACCTCCCTTGCAATTGCTGTTAGCTCTAGAAAACAAATGTAAGTACTTTTTCCTGGGATTGAGGTTGGGGTTTGGAGCAGTACACTGGCACTATGGGAATCCACCAGTTATTTACATGCTATTCTGCAACTTAAAATCACCATCGGTAATTTATTGTCTGCACTTTGTGGCAATGCATTTTCCAATTTCCCTAGTATGTATTGCTGCATAACAAAATTATTCATCCTTTGCTTTAGAAGCGTAGTGCATAATGCACAAAATGCAAAAGTGTATAATCACAGGGAGCATTATTCCTTTGACTCAGAGATCCAGTTGCTGAAGAATAATGGTAGGAGGGCAGCTATTAGAAATAAGAGTTCATATATGAGTAGGACAAAGATCATTAGTTTTTAATATAGTTCTACTAATGCTGCCTTCTAATTCAATATTGCATCTCATCATAACAATAATGACTAGCCATCTAAAATGAATTTGTCTCTTACAGAATAGTGGTTTATCCTAAATATCAGAGAGAGAATGTAATTGAATGGAGAAGAGGAGAGATTCACCAAGACCTTTTAAACAATTTTTGTTTAATTTGGAAAAACAGTAAATGTTCTCAGTCTGGGCAGCATTTATGCTTGATTACTGTCATGTGTTAGTCATTACAAATGAAAAAGCCAGACAAATGCAAATTTGAAATGCTTTATTGGCATGTCTTAATAGTCAGGAATCAGGTGACAATTAGAGAAGCACTTAAGACATAGAAGATTCAAAAGTATTAGAAAGATTGAAGTATTAGAAAGATCTGCTAGCAAGCAAAAAGTTGTGTGTAACAGTGTAGAGCAGTGCTGTCAAACTTGTGGCCTGCAGGCAAGATGCATCACACATTGGCTACACCCACACCCAGTTTAGCAAGGGGGGGAGTCCCAATACATCACATTTGACAACCCTAATGTAAAGTTTGAAGACCAGAAAATTCTAGAAGTCAGTCTGAATATCAACCCTAGGTTGTGAATGGAAGACAACAAATGAGCAGTAGGCATAGGAGTCTGCAGTTGGAGACCAAGAGCCGGTAGGCTGCTCTTATATAGACCCAGCTGCTGTTGTGGTTTGATCAAGGATCTTGTAGCCCACTCCTGCCTAGGGGATATGCTAATTGCCTCTGCTCAGCCCTTTGTAGTTGCCAGTCTATTCCAATTTAGGTGCCCTGCCAGCATGGTGCCTCATTATCTGTACTGGGTTTCACCTGCTCAGGTATATTGTCTCTCTCTTGGAGCTTCCTGATTGCCTGCTAGCTCTGCAGGCTGATAGTCTGTTTTGTTGTTTAACTTCACATTCTGCAGATGAGACCATAATCCTTACAATTCAAATTAAGGGAAATTCCTTCTCTGCATGAAGCTTCCTTCACCTTGCTTGGATCTATGCAAATTGCTTTTTCATATCAAATGGGTTAACCTGACAGTAAATGAAAGGATACTTGCACATGCCTTCAACTCCATAGTTTATTTTGTGATAATGTATTGCATTTGTTGAGTAGAGAGTGGATTGGATCAGTTGAAATAACTTTAATTTCAAAATTATAAGGCCCAAAGACCCTACATCACATTTTATATGAATGACTTCTTCTTCTATACCTCCAAATAGAATTTAAGGACTGCTGATACTATCTTAGAACAAGAGAAGATTAGAGTGTTGTATGTGCACAGTCCACTCAATTAAATGTAATTTTCTACCACAAACTGTTTACAGGGGAAAAGTTTTAACTATTTCTTCTTGATTCTAAAATGAAACAAAATTAGGCTGATAACTTCTATGAACATCATCTGTGTCCTCTTCCATTTTTTGCTTTCCTGTATAGAAGGGGTCCCCAAACTTGGCAACTTTAAGACTTGTGGACTTCAACTCCCAGAATTCCTCAGCCAGCATATGCCAGGGTATAAAGAGGCTGGCATTAGGAAGGGTCCCACCCAATTCTGTGCATAGTGGTATTGTTGTCAACATCATTATGATGGGTTTTTAGTTCTTTACTCAGGTGAAAATGAAATGTAGATTAATAACTAAAGGAAGTGGCAGCCTCACAGCCTTTTTTGCAGCAGCTCAAGGGACATTACAAATTTCTGCTTCTTGGTTGACTGGGTCATTGAAGATTACTGCTGACTGAGGGTGTGATTTAATTACCTGCAGAAACAGCTGTCTCAGCTGTCTCTATGAGTCCAATGGTAAAAGCATTAGCATTATTAAATACAAAGCAGGCAGCGAGAAGGTAATTCTGTTTGCTGTAATTGTCCACTTTAGCTAGAATAGTCCAAGAACAAAAAACAAATAAAAACAAAACACACCACTAAACCATCTTACATAGAGTTCACATTATCCTCTTTCAATTTACTGCACTATATTTAAGAAGTTCTCAAAAATTTTCTAGGTAGCATTTTTCTCCGGCGAAATCATGTCCTTGCCTCCAAATATTACACTAGCCATGTTTTTATATTGATTGACCTCCTCATACAACAGGCTTAACTATCATACAAAAGTCAAGCTATATTCAGCAAAGGCAGAGTGTCTGATTAATAATATGCCTTTACTTTTACTGTATAGAGGGAAGGAGGGAGGAAGACAGAATAGACTTTTCTCAGTTCAGTATCCCCCAGAGATTGGGTTATACTTCCCATAATTCGAGTAAGTAGAGCCATGGTCAGTCTTCTGGGACACTATGAAACTCATTTAATAGCATATCTGGACAATTTCAATTTGGAGAAGTCCATATAAATGAGTAATAAATTTCTGTATTTAATAAAAAATAAAGCAACTATTCCTTGTTGCATAGTAGTAGCTATGCTATGCTCCAGCTCTGGACAAAAGTAATATCCTGTTTCTAAACAGGAGGAAAGAAAAAAAAATGCTAGAAAAATATTTTTGGAATAACAAAATTGTGGTTTTCCCCCTTTTTCTATGTATAACTTCCAACACACCTAAAGTGAGCATTGGATGATGATTAGATATGGGAGACATCATATAAAGAAAATTAGCAATAGCTGTGCTTAGTCATAACAAATATCCATTTGGAAATACCACTGTATGCTATATACTACAATCATATTTTAGGAAAACCCTCTGATTTACTGAAGTTATGTAAAAATTAGACTGAGACAGAAAATTCTAGGAAGGTACAGAAAGGTTTAAGTCAAGAGAGAATTGTGATTTAAATACTTAACAACATATTCATGTACATAGCAGCCATTTCTACAAGGTGCTACATGACTTGTAAGGCATAATGCCAAATAGTATTTCTCAGATTAATGAATATTCATGTTGTGCAGAAATGGGATGCCTCTGTACAGAACTGTATTTATTTTAGAATTGTAAATGTGCTTTGTAAACTGTAATCTCCTTTTTTATTCATTGACCGCATTGAAGTCCTTGAATAGTTCAACTGAGTTCATGGTTCAGGCAGTCTCTCTTATTTCTTTAAGATACTTTTACATCATCCACAATATCTAATCTGACTGAACTTTTTTATTTACCATAGAACTGTCCCATCTTTTTGTTATGGTGCTTAGGGTTGCCTATCTATTTTTTCCAGATTTCTCATCTTTTTTTTCACAATGTAGAAGGTAAGATAACCACCTAAAGGCAGATCAGAGAACATCATCAATAAGCAAGAATTTGTACCTGATTCTCTGGTTCTAGCCATGTGTCTTGTTGGAATTAGCCTCTTTCATTGTAGATGCATTTACACTTGTAAAATGTCTAACTAAAATATTGAGTATGTTCTACCTTCATTTTCTTGCAAGCTTCAGAAGCATCTTGAAAAAGTGCATATAATTGTATAACTCGCTTTCCTTTTAATTCTAGGTTTGGATACACTGGAATTCTTCATAAAGTACTTTCCTGATGGCAGTCCTAAGTAAAGTAGCTATAAAGGAACTGGGTACATGAATATTCCTGATGAATGTGATTTGAGTTCTGTAACAGACATCTATTCTTAACAATAGTCGTACAGAAAGTGTAACCACCTGCAGTTCTAAACTGGAACAATGACCCAGAAGAATTCCTAGATGTAGATGCGCATCTTTTCCATGGACTTGGATTAGAGGTGACACCTCACAACTCAACTTAAAAGATGAGTGATGGGGTGTGGATCATGCTTAGTCCAGCAGAGTTTGCTCAACTGCAGCAATATTCTGAATGTAAGTACATACCTCAGCCAAATCCCCATAATACTCTTGGTGATTATTTATGTTAACAAGAACATTTCAACTAATTGACCTCCATCATATAATAGATGAGGTACAATCTTGTTCAGTTTTGCTTTTACAAGGTGCTACAGTTCATATCATGGCAACTGAGAACTCTTAACACTGTAAATATGGAACACACACTACATCTAAGCAGTACATACAGTTTTTTGGGGGGGGTTAACAAGAGGAAAAGACAAGAGAGGAAGGTGAATAGAAAAGTTGTGTTTTCTGTGAGGACGAGTTCTGAATAAGCTATTAAGTGAAAGAGAGTGTCCTTCAAGCAGAAGAATGCTCATTAGTCTACTGTATTGTAGGCAGGATATAAAACAGCCAGATTCCAAGGAGTAAACTGTTTGGGGGGTGGGTGGGTGGCAAGAGAGTTTCCTGGGAAGTTCCTGGCAAGTTCCTAACAAATTTCTCCCTCCAAGTCTGAACCAAATTGTTCAGATAAAGATTTGTGAACCATAGAAGGGAAAGGCATTGTAATAGGACTTGTTGACTATTCACTGGGGGAAAAAACAGATCATTAGCCTTCATTGTCTGCAAATTAATCCTCAGACTGGGAAATAAACAAGGTGAGCTCTCAGTATGCTCACATAGGAGATTTGGATGGCCCCAACCATGCTGACTTTTTATGAGTCTCTAAAGACCTAGTTCTGTGCTCAGGCTTGAGCCCCCAAATAATGTGGAAGCACTCATCTCCTGGCTATATTTGTGCTATTGGCTATGCTGGTTTTCTTGGCTGCAATGATTTTAATTTTTGTATTTAATTTTTGTATCCATTAATTGCTTTTATTCTGTTGGCTTACTACCCAGAGTCACTTGCTGAGATGGGTGGCTTTACAAATTGGTTAAATAAATATATCGGAATAAACCAGAAATTAATTCATAGGAATAAAAGACACATAATAGGATGATTCTCATTGCCTGGGATATAAACAATCTAAGCATATAATTTGTACAACACAAGCAGAAGTAAAACAAAGAATGGAGGGGTTTCCTATTCAGAAATTCAAGGGAATGAATTTGATTGTAGAAACCATATGTGAAAGAATCAATAAAAATAATACTGTGTTTGATGTCTAGTAACGTTAACATAAACACAGGGAAGGTGTGGGTGGTTTTCCAAAACATAATGGCAGAATTTTCAAAAGGATATGAGACAGTAGTGATGGAAACTTTAACTCAGCATCCTTTGGGAGATGAATTCTGCCAAGCACCATCCGACCAGAGAATTTCTGATTTGCCCCTCTGAAGTCAGAGAAGGGCACAAGAGGAGCAGTTACCCTTGTTTCATTGTATTAAAGAGGATGCCAGGGGTAAAATAACATCTTAGTAACAAAGACCAAGGCATCGTTTTATACTGCACAGAAGAGAGTGGTAAATCTCTCCAAAAAAAACCCACATAGATAAAAAAAATATTAAATGTTTGACAATATGGTGCTGGATAATCTGGTTAAATAGTGCTCAACGTTACTGAGATGTAGCTGAGGATGTTTTGAAGTACTAATGTAGTTTATCATATGGCGAGATTAATGCTTTCAAGACTTCAAGTTGTTAAAGTTATCATGCAGAAAAAGAAAAAACAAAGATTTGAAATTTAGAAAAAAAAATCAAAATGCAAAATGCAAAGCTTCAAAGACATTATATGGAATGTGTGAAGCATGAAAATAGAAAAATCAACACAAGAAAAGATGAAATGAATTGATGACATGTTGACATCTTAGACCACAGCAAATTGAGATGGCAGAAAATTGAACAGGCAGAAGATCATATGGGTTACTACTCAGGACATTTAAAACAAAGAACAAATGGTATTGTTTTCAAAATTAGGAAGGACATAGTAAAACAGTATTTGGCTACAATGCAACTCATGACTGAATAATATCAATTAGTCTTGTAGGATATGTATATCAGCTGCTCACTGATGATGGCAAAATGCTAGCAGGTGAGACAAAACTACTCAGATCTTGTTAGTTTTGTCTCCTCCAATAACAAACAGCAATAGCCCTCTCTAAGCAAAGTATGTATCTCATCAAGGAATTGTGAAAAAGGGTGAAGAAACAGGATTGAAGCTTGAATTTGTTGGGAACAATCTCTGTTCTGAATGAGTCTAATTTTGAGATCCAGACTGCATACCAGAATATGAAGAAGCTTAATGATGGTGTGGCCAGTTTTTTAAGTGTTATTTTTGAGATATCTCAGACTGTAAACTCAACTTTTTTTTATTAATGACTTGGATTAGGAGATGGAGGGTATGGTTATCAGATCTGCAGATGAAACAAAACTGATGATACAGCTAATCTCTTAGAAGAGATGAATTAAATTAAACACAATATTGATAGGTTAGAAAAACCTCCTGAAAATAATAGAACAAAATTTAACAGTGAGAATGCAAAGTTATTTACTTAGGAAACCAAAGTCAGATTCACAAACATAAATAGAAGATACTTGGCTTGATAGAAGTAAAAAAAAAAGTGTCATGGAATAACAGTTGACCACAAATTGTGTAAGCAAAGTAATCTGATTGTTAGAAAGGAAATGCAATTTGTAAAATTTAGGTATGGGAGAATATAGCATCTAGGGAATTACAGGAAGTAATTGTTCCATTTTGTTCTGCTTAGGTCAAATCTTATTTTGAGGATGTATTCATTTCTGCGCATCATGCTAAAAAGAGAAATTCTAGGGAAATCTACAGAAATTAAAAATGATCCAGAGAAGGGCAACAAGGGTGAACAGGAAACTTAGAAACCAAATCTTCTGCAGTGACAGAGAATCTTTAGCCTGGAGAAGAAAAGATTCAGAGGAAGTAGTCTTTACATACCTGAAAGGCTATCAACAGAACAACATAGAGACCTAGCCTGTCATCATCTCAAAATGCAGGACTCAGAATAATTAAATTATTGTTTCACAAATCTGAACAATAAAAGCAAGTTTTCAATTTGTCAGCAGAACTCATTATTCAGAAAATTGACAAACCCACCCATTATAATACTATGATGGGCTTGTCTTCACAGGATGTATCTAAGCCAACTATCATGATGGTTTTAATGTAGGTTCCTGCACTGAGCTAGTAGTTGAATTCAGTGGTTTAGATGCCCCTGAAAAACGACCGTATATAACTCTAAACAAGTCTATAAATATGGGGAAGTAAACTTCAGCTCTCACTGCATGGGAAAATAGTGTCTAGGAAGTAGCCATATCTTTAGTAGAGCAGGGACTTCCCAAAGAAGGAGAGGTGAGGAAAGGGGAGAGGGGGAGAGAGGATAGAGGAAGGAAGACCTTGATTACCTAGGCTTATTCAGAATCAAGACAGATTGGAGAAACTGATGTAACTTATCACTCATTACTTCCTTATTTAATTATGGATGGTGATATAATTGGCTGTGTAAGAAAGTCTTATTAAATATTGGAGCTTTTCTTAGTAAATGCATGAATTTGGGCTGCTGTTGTTGATCTAATGCAGGGGTGTCAAACTCATATCATCACAGTGGCATCATGTGACATATCGGGAAGTTTTTTCCCTTCGCTAAACTAGGCATGGGCATGGCCAATGCATGATGTATCTGGCCCACAAGCCACAAGTTTGACAGCCCTGATCTAAGGGAAGAAAAGCAATTGCACTTGGCTAGTATCTAAGGACAAAGTGTCAGCAATGTAAGTGGAAGAAGAAATATCATTCAGAGAACAGATTAAGAAAAGATTATTATAAAAATTGACAGTGGAGAAGAAGAGTTTTAAAAATAGTTACATGTCTAAAGTTTATAGAACTCACCAAGGCAACTCTTCTGTATATCCATACAAGTAGCAGCTTTATATACATACATATTACATACATGCATGCACACATTCAAAGACGTATTTTACATGAAAGTACATAAGATAAACCTTTCCCAAATGTCCTCTGCAGATTCATTGGACTTCAACGACATGACTTCCATCCAATATAGCTAAAACTGACTTCTACATTCCCATTTGGGAAGATCGGTGTGAAGTTTAAGTGCTGAGAATGTAAAGAGAAGAATGTTCCCACTGACTTATCACCATGAATTTAATCTTTCAGAGACTCTAGCCTAAACATTACAAAATTCAATACCCCTGAAGAGATGGGATCTTGAGCAATCCCTATAGTTTATAAATAGAAACCTCTGTAGACATCTCAAAGCAGCCTCTTTCTTTTAATCATTTTCCTGTGGTTTTTTCAGTCTATTTTATCCTTTGGGACCAATTTCTTAATCCAGAACAGTTGAACTGTGAGACTGCTGAGACATTTCAATTCCTGGAGTTCTGAAAGCTCACTAAGGAGGATTAAGAAGCAGAGAACAATGGCTTCCATTAAGACATTTTATGGAAGAATTCTCCTTAAATATTGCTGATGATAGAGTTAAAAAGACATACTATCATACCATGCTATATTAATTTTATGACATAAACCAAGGTACAAACCCACACATTATAATACTAGGAGTAAACCATGCCACTTTAAGACTCTGCTTGCTGTAAAACTTAAAGTGGCATGGTTTACTCATAATGTTATAATGGGTTGATTCATATATGCTAAGCCTAAAGTAAACAAACCTTGTCCTTGTGAATTAGCCCATGTAAGAAGTCCAATTTATTGTTACACTACAGAAACAGGTGGTAATCCTTGCAGATAGAAAATTAGCATGTCAGTAAGTGTTAAAAAATTGAAAGGAGTAGAATATAATCATTAATATTTTAGCCCAAGCACATGGAAGAGATATGATACTTAAGCACTTTGTCTTTTTTGCCATCTTTTTTGCCTCCATTTTGCCTCTTTTACATCTACTCTGAGATTTATTTTTCAGTAGCAATAGCAGCAGAGGTAAGGAAATAGATTCCATAATAACATGCTGTGCCATTTTCAAATCATATTTTTTATTATTTTATTTGCTATAATAAAAAGCACATTAAATGGGAAAAGATACATTGCTATATATTTGAGGAAAAAAGAAAAATATTTTCTTCCTTTTTCTCTTTTTTTTATGAAGCATTATAAAACCACTGATTAAACCTTGATAAGACAGAATTATATTAGAATTATATTGCATCAGTCAGGTCAGGGTTGAAAGTGAACATATTTTGGGGGGGATTCTTTTCCCCCGAGAAGTATATTTACAACACCTAAAGTCTAATATATCCAAGATTGCTCACAAATGTTCAAATTCTATATTAATAAAACTATAAATACTGAGCTAAAATGAGTCATCAAAAGCTCATAGATCCAAATCATATATGTTAAGATGCTTCAGATCTGTTTACATCTTCAGTACAAAGAATGGAAACTCTCTTTCTTAAATAATCAAGTCTGCTTTCCTGAAAAAAGATGAACATATTTTAAAATAGACCAATCCAGTCATTTAGCGAAGGCCATTGAAAGTCTTCCCTCCGTTGCAAAGTACCGGTACATGTGGCATGGATAAGACAACTGCTTTTCTCTGTGGTTTCCCCCACACTCTGGAATAGTCTTTGCTGTTAGGTACATATGGCTCCTATTTTGCCTATGTTCCAAAAATTAATTAAACTTGTCTTATTTCAGCAAGCCCTTGACTCCAACTGATTGATTGATTGATTGAGGACATCTATCTTGGCTTCTGCTAGGAATTTTATGCCTCTGTTGTATTTATCTTGCTTGTTTTTCTTTTTACTGCATACTATCCACAGTCCTTCGGAACTGGTTATAATTTCTGAAATACATATGAATAGCTATCCTAGGTCTTTTGATCATTTTCTCCTTATATATTACATTAAATGATTTAAGATGCCATTAATGTTAGCTCCAAGGCATTGTTGGCTTCAGGGTATCAGCAGCCAAGGGGAGCTGAATCATTAGGCAGAGTAGTTTCTCAGGCAACAAACTTGTGAAAGAGCAGCAAACTGAGGTTCTTGTTGTTTGTTTATTTAAAACATGTGCATAGCCAAAGTCAAACTCTGGGCAGCTTACAACCAATTTTTCCACCTCATGTACTAACTTTGCTAGCTTAAATAGCACACTCTTGCAGCAAGATAGATGGCAAACAAATTTAATAAATAGATAAAATAAATGACTGGAGGTGATGAAAAGCCAAATTTGCAGTTTTGCCTCAATCTGCATAATATCTTGGATTTAGGCCAGAATCATCTTCTGACTATAGATATGAAAAACAATCTGACACAGTGCATCCTGAGGATCACTCAGTCAGCAGAGGTGCTGTCTCCTCATGTTATGTATTTAATACTACGTAGTCACCTCTGCTTTTCTGCCTTTATGATACTTTCAATCATTCTAAATACCGCATGCAGAGATGCAGCTTCTTAATAGCATTTTATTTCAGACAAAGGAAGGAAAAATTTTGCTTTCAATCACCATTCTATCTTCACAGCAATTCTATCAATAAGCTGAAATATATTAGTCTGAGATCATCCAGTGAGGATTTAATGGCTAGAACTTGTCTTTCTTTACTTTTATTCTAATGCTTTATCATGCTGATAATACTGATGGGAATCATTATGTGGCTTGTATAATGATTCCTTTCCCCTGCAAAAATTGGAAATGCTTTCTGCAAACAATTGTTTATAATGGTTCCAATTACTAGATTTTAGTGGCTGTAAGGCTGGCACATAAATTGCATAAAGAAGGCAGGTTGTTTCATCCTGCACACAATAACACGGTCCAACATTTGTATTTGCAATGTGATGTATGTATTATTTATAAGATAGCTCTGGGATTAGGAAAGTAGCTTTATTAATACAATTTAAGCCATTTAAAAGGAAAAATTATAAATATTCTTATTAAGGATATAGGTATAGATTTTACTACTATTCGAGGTATTGCTATTATTCTGTGCAATCATTCCATACCCGATTATGAAAAACTTGTTTGGAAATAGGCTGCTCTTAATCTTACTGGCTATCTTTCACTTTCTAGATTCTACCAAGAAATTGAGAGATGTTTTGGAAGAGTTTCATGGGGATGGCATTCTGTCAAAATATAATCCAGAACAAGTAAGGAAACTTGCATTAACTGTATTCATAAATGCCTATTGAAAAAATTAGCTAGCTATGTAGATTTCTGTGTACAAAAATTCCCAAAAGATCTTAATAACAGTTTTAGGATAAAATGGTCATTGAGCCTTATGTAAGCTCTTTTAATTACTCAGACCCTGGCCTAAACCAACCAAACTAAATGTTTCCCTAAATATGCCTTTTTATCACATCAGGTTTTAAAAGAGGTCTGAGTAGATAAGGTGAATTTTATTAGCACCATAATACAAAAGAAGAAAAGTTTTTCTTGTAAGATTAATAGTAACTTCTGGGAAGTGATATTTTTTTAAAAATTGCTGAATGGAAAATGGAAAGATAAAACCTCCTCTTTGTCACAGGGAGCCAGAGTGCAAACATCCACTAGTGCTTAGCTTAAGTTCTTTTTAATTATAAGATATTTGCGAAGGACAGATACATTTGGTATCATGTCTAGGGTAGTAAGAAAAGGAAGTAATTCATTTTTGTATGAAATTTCTCTTAAAATATTAATGAAAATCAAAAGCCAAGATCAGGCTGGCATCTACCCTGTTGATTTTCCAGAAAACTATAAAACTGTTTATTCTAGAGAACATTCAAGAAAGATTTATAATAAGTTACAAGATCCTCCTTTTCTGCTTCCTATATTGGTACAGTTCATCTGCTGGTAGGGCTGTTCTAATCATAGAATAATATTGGATATAATATTGATTTGTTTTAATCTTCTTATGTGGAGGGGGAATGTAAGTTGCTCAGAGGCCATGCAAGTAGAGCAGCATAAAAATGCTAGTAATAAATAAATAAGATCTGCGGTCCATTTCTGCTTATAAATTAGTTCTATTGGATTCAGTGAGAAACAAATCCCAATATTCTGCTATTGGATAATGCAAGGGAGTTTGGAAATTGGAAAACAAGTAGCTGCCTTATAGTAAGCTGATTTTTAAAGTCACATTTAATTTTTATAAATCATTACTGACTCTTAAATATTCAGGGTGGAGAAGCCTATACGTTATAGGAATATTTCATAAAAACATCTAGTCAAAATGTCATTTACAACATTTTAAAAGTGATTCCCACTATTTTCTAAAGATATATAGAAGTGAACTACAATTTAAGGAATAAATATTAAATTTGAGTAATGTATCATTAGTTTATATCAAAGATATGTCTAGGTTTAGTCTCCCCTCCCCCTTATATTTGATATATTGAAGTATTACTGCTTACTTTTTCAAAATGGCACTTTGAACTTAACTTGGTGGTGGGAGTAAAAGTTGAGAAAAGCATGAGGATGATTCTGTCATGTTGCTGTTTTTACTAAGAGGAAAAAAGGGGGGTTACTAAATATGACAAAATGAACTATATCTTCATTGCTGTAGGAAAAGGAAATTAGCAAAAACAACAATGAGTTGTTTCCAGGTAAGAAAAGGAAGAAAGCTGCAGAGCTATTCATGAAGACAAATTAATCCAGAACTGAATATTATTAAATTAAATGGGAAATGAGCACAAATTATTTGTTAGGAAATTTTTGACACCTAAGAGTAATTGGAAAGACAAGTCCACAAAAAGAAAAACCCAACACAAATTGCAACCACATTCCTATTTAGAAAAGCCATTGTTAGGCTCTGGATAATGTTTGTTGGTTGGTGGATAGAAGTTGGGCGTTCTGCTTTCTGCCAAGGGCACATGCTGTGGTTTCTCTTCTACACTAAGCAGTTGAGGTAAGTATACTTCATTACTATCCACTTGGAAAAATGGTTGCAGTTGCCATTGAGTATAACAACTAATTGCCTTTGAAATTCTTTGAAGATGGGTTTGCTTTTCAGGAGAGCATGTGGAGCAAACAAACCAAAAAGGAATATATGAAGAGAGAGGAGATATTTTCATAAAGGTCTTTTGTAACATATACTTTTTATTTGTTTAATCATCCTCCTCTCACTACTCCTTAGTAATAACTTTACAATGGGAGAGATGATAAGAGAGTGTGCTGCTTAAGGCTGATTTTCTGCTGAGGCAAAGAACAACACAGTACCTCTCTTACTTCCAGACTAACAGAAAAAGCACACATCAAGGTCCATGAGGTGCATACAACCTGCCTTCCACCATATAATTTAGCTGTTTCCCTCAGTTCCAGTTAAGATTCTATCCTCTTACCTCACATCAGATCCAGGTGTTAGTCTGGAAGTAAGAGAGGTACTGTGTTGTTCTTTGCCTCAGCAGAAAATCAGCCATAAGCAGCACACTCTCTTATCAACTCTAATTAAACTCAGATTAATGAGAATGAACAGAGATAATCTATATTCTGTTCAAAGCTCTTTGGTAGAAGTCCAAGATACAAATATACAGACAGACAGACACACACATACACACACACCAGTGGTGGGGTTCAATTTTTTTTTACTACTGGTTCTGTGGGTGTGGCTTAGTGGGCATCACAGGGGAAGGATACTGTAAAATCTCCAGTCAGAGGTGGTATTTGCCGATTCTCTAAACTACTCAAAATTTCTGCTACTGATTCTCCAGAACTGGTCAGAACCTGCTGAATACCACCTCTGACACACACATATCATTAAATCCTATTGAACAGAAAGCTCTTCCTTACAAAACATTTTTGCTACCTGTGAAATATTTGCAAATTTCCCAAGCCAAAGATCTCATGTAAAACCTTCTGAGTAGAACATGTCTTTTCATCTGATGGTAAAGTTTAAAATAGGGATACTTCAGAACAATGTATGCTTCCAAGAACTGCAGTCTAATCCTTCCTGGATACTTGAATTGCTTTTTTCTAATGGAGTAGCTATTTTCCAGTGCTTCTTCACTCAACTTTGCTTTGTCTTTCTCTGCTCTTTATTCCCTCAGAAGCAAGACACTTTGAACCAAGTAAGACTTGTTTTCCAACTCAGGCTCTCATGTGTTGTGCTATTTGTTGCTTTGAATGGTTGCTTTGGCATAAACTTTTTTTTTATTTTTATTTGTCAATTGCTTACAAGATAATAGGTATAAGTAAAAAGATAGTTATGAATACATGAATATATATAAGAAAAATATATATATAAAAGAAATAGGACAGGGACGGGAGGCACGTTGGTGCGCTTATGCACGCCCCCTACAGACCTCTTAGGAAAGGGGTGAGGTCAATAGTAGACAGTCTAAGGTTAAAGTTTTTGGGGTTTGGGGAAAAAACCACAGAGTCAGGTAGAGTATTCCAGACATTGACCACTCTATTGCTGAAGTCGTATTTCCTGCAATCAAATGTGGTGCGATTAACCTTGAGTTTGTATCTATTGTTTGCTCTTGTGTTGTTATGGTTGAAGCTGGAGTATTCATTGACTGGTAGGACATTGCAATGTATGATTTTATATACTATGCTTAGATCGGATCAAAGGCGGTGTAGTTCTAGGTTTTCTAGGTCTAGAATTTCGAGTCTGGTGTCATAAGGTATTCTGCAATGAGTAGAGGAGTGGAGAACTCTTCTTGTGAAATATTTCTGGACTTTCTCAACTGTGTTAATATCAGATACGTAATGTGGGTTCCAGACTGATGAGCTGCATTCGAGTATTGGTCTAGCAAATGTTTTGTATGCTCTAATTATTAGTGTAATATTACCAGAGAAAAAGCCAAGTAAGATTAGGTTAACAACTCTTAATGCCATTTTGGCTATGTAGTTACAGTGGGCTTTAGCACTTAGGTCATTTGAGATGAGTACTCCAAGATCATTGACAGAGTTTGGATCTTCAACAAGGTCTTGACTATTCAGCCTGCATTTTATTTTCTGATTTTTTTTTGCCAATATGTAGGACAGAGCATTTATTTGTTGAGATTTGAAGTTGCCATTTGTTTGACCATTCTGATACATAGTCAAGGTTTTGAAGGGTAGCAGTATTGTCTGTGGTGTTGAATAGCTTTACATCATCAGTGAAGAGAACGCAGTTGCTCTTGATATGATCACAGAGATCATTTATGTAGAGTATGAAAAGAGTTGGTCCTAGAACACTGCCTTGGGAGACACCACGGTTGACAGGTACAGAATTTGATAGGACACTCCCAATTTTGACCATTTGTTGTCTGTTTGACAGGAATGCTTCTATCCAGTTATGCAGGTGTCCAGAGATACCGTAAGATTTTAGTTTTAGTAGTTTGTTGTGTACCACTGAATCAAAGGCTTTACAGAAGTCTATGTAGATTGTGTCGATTGCTTTGCCCTGATCCAGTTGTGTAGTCCATATGGTTTTGCAGTGTAAGAGTTGCAGATTACATGATAGTTTTTTTCTGAAACCAAATTGTTTATTAGAGAGTAGGTTGTTAGTTTCTAAGTAGAGGATGATGGATTGGTTAATTATTGATTCCATGACTTTACAGGTGACACAGCATAAAGAGATTGGTCTGTAATTTTCAACTAGGCTGGGGTCTCCTTTTTTAAAGATGGGGATGACCGTGGCTTGTGACCATAGTTTTGGCAAGGAGCTGGTCCTGAAAGATTTTTCAAATATTATGCTTAGAGGTTTGGCTATGGCAGTGGATAGTTTTTTTAAGAAGTAGGCACATATTCCATCCGGTCCAATAGATAGAGATGGCTTTAGATTGCGTAGTGCTTTTTCAACATTGTCTTCTGTAAAATCGTTATGTATTAGATCATTGTAGTTGTCTGTGGTTCAACTAGGAAATACTGGGCATGATCCATTGCTGTTTACAAATACTGAGCCAAAGAATGTATTAAAGAGGTTGGCTTTAATAGTGTTGTCGTTGCAGTCTTTACCATTAGGTCCTTTCAGGGGTGGGATGGACCTTGAGTCTTTTAGTTTGTTGTTTACAAAATTGTAGAAAGCGCGGGTGGAATTGGTGCGTAGATTTCCCTCAAATTGTATCAGTTTATGTTTATGATAAGAAATCTAAATCTGCATATTATTAAATCGAAAAAAAGCTAAACAAAATTCCTTACCCTGGAGAGCAATAAATCTTTAGGGAGCAAAAAAAAAATCTAATCTTTAAAATTCAAAACAGCCCAATTAGAATGAACCTATTGTAGCCATAAAATACCACAGAGAGAGAAAAAAAAACAGAAAAAACGTCTATTTGAAAGAGAATGGAATATATTGCCATGGGAAAAGTCATGGCTGGTAATGATGCTCTAAGCTGTATTCAGTATATCATAGCATTGGATCTGGCTTGTTCCCCATTCACCCAAGCCATAAATAATGAAAAAGAATTTTGTGTTGTTTTATCAGAAAACTTTTTGCAAACAAGTTAATTGGCAAGGAAGATAAAGAGTCAGTGGAAATTTTTTTGCAGCGTTATAGAATATAATAGCATATAGCATATCAGTTCAGTTATTTTGGCAACTGAATAGAGTAGTGACAGCAATGCTTGTTAACTGTTATTAATCACTCAGATTAAGCATTGCAGGGAATATAATAGGCTTGCTGCAGAATTATGAATTAATGCTAATAATTTACAGAATGCAAAACTAAGAGCTGGCAAGAGCAAGTTTTTGGCTGTTACCTTTGATCCCTTCTGCTTCCTCAGTTATGGCTGCCCCACTTGTTTTTAAGCAACTTTTATTATAAAGTCACTATGAAAATTGTGAGCTTCCTATTAACCACTGCCTGCCTTCCATCAACTACCCCAGAGTTCAGCATAATGGAAAGCTCTCAAGTGTCCCAGCAATTAAATGTGGGCAAGTTGCCCTTGTTTGCCAGATGGCAAGCAGGACAATGAACAGAACTGGGTAAATCTGAAATAAGTGTGTGTATATGTCCCCTTGGACTAAGATCAAATACTTCTTCAGCTAAGCCCATTCTATCAAATGTCGCCAAGAAGATTTCAATACATCTGTCAGGATTACATCCAAATGCTTATGCTAAATACTTTGCCTTTTGTGGTGATGCTCAAAGAACTTTAGTTGTGTTGCTCATTGAGGTTCACTGCTACTGTGGTTCTGCATATATGTATGTAACCCTGATTTCAATATGCATGTAAGAAATGTATTGCTGCGCTTCCTTGTGGCATTATTAAATGTACTTTGTATTCCTGAGATATAATGTTAATTACATGCATTATTGCACATGGGAAAGAGATTGCTAGGTACATATCAGTATACAGGTAAGCTGCAACTCTAATTAATACCTGTAGATGAATTTCATGATCCATGGGCTTTCCCCAGATAGGCCTCAATGTTCTGTGCATAAAATTATTTTCTTAAAATTTAAATGCATACTTTTTCTTTCTAACAAACCTTTCTTCAGACCTGTGAAACTCAGTGCTCAAAGAACACCTCTAACTGGTTTCCAATGTGTGTGTGGTGTGTGTGTGTGTATACGGCATGTTTTAAATGCCATCTGATTCATAAGGCAAAAGGGTCTACATGGCTTTTCAGATAACACAGAGAACCTTTGTCCAAGTTAACCCTCAAATCCAGGAGATTAAAGATTGCATTGATCAGATATAATTCCATGCTTTATTCCAGATACCTTTCCCAACAGCTTTTTGAGCCAGCTAAACTGTCTAATGACAAAATTCTTGATCTATTTTCACTGTGTAAAAACCTCTACCTTAACAGTTCTATTTATTTATCTCTTCCTTGATTTTTTCTTCTTCTATCCTTTCTTCATCTAGCTCCTCAGTTGAGAGCCTCAATTTAAAATGGGGAGAAAATGTAACTGCTAAGATTCCTAACATTTAAAAATTATTTTAAAAAACACTCGTGTCTTTTATTTCCCTCCTTCCTGTTAGCCTATTGACTATGAGGGGTTCCAGCTCTTTATGAGAACATATCTGGAGGTGGATATTCCAGAAGAGCTCTGTGAGCACCTCTTCATGTCCTTCAAAAGAAAAGTTGGCCAATGTTCTCTCGAGAACCAGCAGCAAAGTTCCAGTATTTCACAGCTAAGCAACCTTGGTAAGCCATATGCTTTCTTTGCTACTTCAGTTCTCACAAGTGTGGAAATGGCTTACATTGGAATATTTTGAGGTGTCTTTCTGGGCAGGTTTGTTTCCCTAAAAGAGTAAATGAGGTCTGCCACTGAATGATGCACTGTTTAGTATCTTCTGCTTAGGGTCCTGTTATGCTCATTCTAGGATATTCTGTTCTATTTACTTTCTTTGAATTTCCACTTATGTAATGGGCATTCTATGGACTTTAATCCTCATTGGCCTAGTGTTTCTTCTCCTAATTTTTTTTCATCACAAAAATCTTTTCATAGATAGCATCCATATTCAGCATCCATGTTTTCTGTAGCTGTGTAATGACATTAAATTAAAGTGATTTGAATTGTGAACTGAACAAATGATTCAATAATCATTTTATCACATATTAGGTTCAGATAGCAGTGGTGTATTAACCATTAAGCAGACTAAGCACGTGCTTGGGGCACCAGGCCCAAAGGGGGCACCACAAAAACTTTTATGTAGCCTAAACTTGGCTTCATTTGCACAGTATGTACAAAGAGGAGGGGGGCAAGATTTGTCAGTGCTTAGGGCACCAGTAAGCCTTAATCTGCCACTGTACAGGGGCTTGATTTGAGAGCCACATATCTTTAATTTTGTTTTAGTTAACTCCTTTTTAGTGTTCATATAAAAGGGGAAGTGTGTGTGTATGTTCATGTGTGTGGTTATTCATTCATTCCACATGTTTCTCTAATGCCTTTTATCAACTAGATTTGTTTTTAAAATATATGGAGTATGGAAGGTAGTTTGTGGCAGCACAAAAGGAGATGTGCTTTTAATACTGTCTGTTGGGAAAGAGGGCTTCACTAGTCTACAGAAGGGGAAGGAGAAGGATAAATGGACCTGAATGCAAATGAACACTTGTGACTGCTCTTAAATTCCTTCAAACAACCATTGTGGCTCAACTGCACAGCCATATTGATATTGGTCTTAAAATGGCTGTCTCTGCATTTCTTTTACTACACCTTAGCAAGCTGACTCCTTTGCCCTGACAAATATCATGCGCTCATCCCCATCTTTCCCTTCCCAAATGCTCCTACTGCTATTCCTATGATGGGGCCAAGCTGGGCTATATAAAGGTCTCTCCACATAGTCAACTGCTGTGCCCAGCTAAGGAACAAGCAGCAGTGTTCTGCTTTGCCTCATAATGTGCCTGAGATATGCTTCCCCACAGTTGATTGGGCTGTAATTGTTTCTGCAGCAGTGTTTGTAAAGCTAAACCAAAATAGTATATACCTACAGCTCAGTATTTTGCCTAAATATTTATTAGCCTTTTGTGAAATAAAAGTAAAATGTGCAATTGCTATTGCAAATTTGCAACGAATACTGATCAGTTGATGTCAAGTGCCCATTGCTAAACTATGTGTATGTTCTTATGTTTCTTTTATGTATTCAGAATCCAAGACTCTTGATACAGGTATATCCATCCAGACAGAAGTTGCTTGTGCTCCTGTTACAGGTATTCAGTATAAATGCTTTAAGAGCTGCAAAATCTTTCATGTTTAAATAAGGAGCTTTACGGGCACCAACAGGCTGAGTTCTGTTCAACATTAGTTCCAACACTTCGTTGTCACTTTATGCTGTAAAAACAAATACAAAGCTAGGGACTACCCAGTCTCTGGAATCCTGCACAGAAATATACAACAGCAGCTAAGTAAACGTGTTAAGCAAACAATCCTTGGGTGCCAAGAGATCTCCCATTATTTCAGAGTGGTCTGGCTTTTCTAATCCTTATCTCTTGCCAGGAAACAGTTGCTATGTGGCAATATCCTTTTTTCAGTGCTGTGTTTCTGATTTTGTGGTATCTCCTCTACCATTCTAGTTAAATGCAGAAGATAATCAGATGAAACATAGGAATCAAGAACCAAGAGATTAGTATTTTTAAATATATATGTAATCTAATTTGCAATCTGGATTGACTGTATTGTTAGTAATATGAACTTTATGAAGATGAATTTGAGTTGTTTCCATACATGTAATCTAATTTGCAATCTGGATTGACTGTATTGTTAGTAATATGAACTTTATGAAGATGAATTTGAGTTGTTTCCATACAACTTTCTTATAGCAACATACTTTACTTCTCTACTAAATTACTAGATTAAAATGGACACGCTGGTGGAAAATGGTAGTCTGGTGGGCAATACGGTAGGTAGGAAAGACTAGCAGAATTATTACCAAGAAGAGCTTACACAAGTACAGTACAGAAAATGGCAAGTTCACCAAGTACAATACAGAAAAAGTAAGTTCATCAGAAAAACAAACCAGTAAATTCATCAGAAAATTATTAGTTCCTCAGAAAAACAAATAAAAGATCATCAACTTTGTGTTTTCAACTTCCTCTGGCAAAATGAATAATTTATTATCATTTCAACATCCATTTCATGTCATATCTATATAAAGTATTAAGTAAATAACTTGAGCATATCAGGATTAAGAAATATTTTTGTCACATCATTACTGGCAGGCTTCTCTTAGATGACTGGAACTGCCCAACCTTTTTAATTATTTATATCCTGCCATTATTATTTTTACAAATAATTCAAGGCAGCAGGCATATCCAACACACCTTCCTCCTCCTATTTTTTCCACAACAACAACAACCCTGTGAGATGAGGAGCTGAGAGTGTGTGACTGGCCCAAGGTCATCCATCAGCTCTCATGCAGGACTGAAACTCACAGTCTCTTTGTTTTCCAGCCTGATTCCTTAATCACAGAGTCATAATTTATTATGGGGGGGAGAGGGGAGGTTGTAGAGTTTTTTTGTCTTATAAATTATGTTAAATCTATTTTAAAGTATTTATTATTGTTTTCATGCTTCCACCCTGAAAACTGAAAGAAATCACAGCAACTCCATGAACTGCAAAACAGAGTTTCAGGGATCACATACGGTATAGTCCTGGTGTCTTAAGTTATTCACTTCTCAGGATTTACAAGAAAATCCTATCTCTGTGAAAATCTCTTGCATAAAATAAGGTCCAATTATACATGGGGCACCAAAGGAATGTACACACAACCCATCAAGAAGGGCAGCACAAAGGTTGTGTTCTGAGCCATGCTGGCTGAGATGATGGGTTTGGAAATAATAGTCTGACATAGAAAGGAAGCCTCCATCTTGAAAAAAATTAATATAAAACATCATGTTTCATTATGATTCATTTCACGATACATAAATCAAGGCTGATTTATCACTTCATTTTAAATTATAGGGATCAATGGGAAAACTCTTCTAAGTGCCATGGGAAGACATACACCTGAATCCAAACACCCCCAGACAAATCTAGCAGAGCCACAATCAGCATCTCTCAGTCCTGTTCCAACATCCAACATCAATGTCCTTGGGAATGCCTCACCTAGCTGGTCCAGATCATCATCACAAAAATCCACTGCTGGTAATCCTTCTGCTCACAACTCCTCAGTGTCCTCCAAGATTTCCTCAGGTTCTCTGCTTACCCCACAATCTCCAGGTGAGATCTGCCTTTCTTTTATGGAGGCATTCCTATATATTTTCCCGCCACACCCACATATAGGCATAAAATTCATTTCAGAGGTCAAAATCCTAGCATGGGATACACATCTGGTAAAGAAACCTGAGGTGGAAGGTGAGCTGAGGTGATGCACTTTTGGCCCGTGTGAGGGTCCAAGAAGCAGAAATATATTAGACTAAGAAAATGATTTCAAAAGAAATGTGCAGCATTGGCCAATAAATTATTTCCAGTGTGCTCCCTGATTCAAAGGCCCAGGTGCATTTATCTGCTATGTGGATCAATCGATTTGAAGGAATTTTCACCCAATTTAAAATCACATTCTGGAATTTTCAGAATTTCCATTGCTAAGCAAGGCAGTTGTTAAGTGAATTACACCTGATTTTATGACCTTTTTGCTGTGGTTGTTAAGTAAATCACTACAATTGTTAACTGAATCATGCAGACATTAAGTGAATCTGGATTCCCCCATTGACTTGTCAGACGCTGGCTATGAAGGCTACAAATGGCAATCCTATAGTAGACCCCAAGATACTGCAACTGCCATAAATACATCCTGGTTGCCAACTTTTCATCACATGACCACAGGGATGCTACAGTAGTCATAAATGCAAGGACCAGACATAAGTCATTTTTTTCAATGCTGTTATAACTTTGAACTATTGCTAAACAAATGTTGCAATTCAAGGACTGTAATGTTACTGGGATGATGCTATCTGCATTCTGAATTCAGCAGTTTTTGATGTTTTTTGACATTTGTGTAGTTGGTAAGAAGGGTGGAGTAAGAGTTGCTTCCTTCTTGCGTTGTTGTCATTCAATTTTTTTTATTATGTGGTAAGAGCAACTGGGATGGGGAAGCCACTGGATGACCCAATGTTTCCAGAGTACTAATTTATGCCAGGGAGTAAAGGGTAAATAAGCAAGATTAGAATTTACTGGTGTACTAATTTCTTCACCGACATTTCTTTCTTTCAAGTCACATCTTCCTTTTCAGGTACAAGATAGAATCTAATAAATATATTAATCTACTGTAGTCCACAAAATTGCATACTATAACAAAATGTTAACTCACACAAGAGAATAATTTCCTCGCCCGCCCCCTCCCTCCACACACACTTCCATGCAAATATCCTTCTTTCTATCCTGTTTTCCTCATTCTATTTCATCTGCTGCTTCTCCTCCCTGCCTCCCACCACATTCTCTCCAGTGGCTTACATTCCTTTTCAATGTAACTTCCCCATGGGGTAACCAGGCTTTCTTATTCACTGGAGTTTTAGATTTTAAAAAAAACACCTGTTAGCACAATGCGATTGTATAATAAAAAAAATACCAAAGAAAAATTTAGAAAGTGGGCTACAATCTCACCCACGACCTTAATTCTTCATTTTCCAACAGAATCTGTTGCAGACCTTTAGCTCACAAAAGTTAATTTTGACTTAAGATCTACAATATTATAGCTCTAAATCAATTTCACCTAACAGTCAGCCTGTACCTGTTTTGAATTATAATCTAAAGAATGGCAAAACGACATGAACCTTTTCTCTTCCTAAAACAACATCAACCTTTTTCTCTTCCTTTTAGGTTCCAAAAGTTTGGACAAGAAACTTCCTTTTAACCTTCGAAAGAGTAACATCTCCCTAAAAACAGCCAATCCACACCCACTAGCCCCTTTGGCTCAGGTAGTCTACCTGAAGGACATTGTCTGCTACCTGTCACTGCTGGAAAGGGGTCGGGCTGAGGATAAGCTGGAGTGTAAGTGCTTGGGTGACAGGAAGAACATCTGTAGTTCTTGAGCACCACGTGCAAAACTATGGGTCCCTTGGTCACAGGCGGCAGGAGTGGAAGGAATGTGGGAGGGTTGTGGTTTTAGAGAAAACCATAAGAGCTTTGAGGTTTATAAGGCGTAAATGTTGAGATTCATATGGGTATGAATCATGAATGAAGCTGCAACTCCTGCCGACCTGACAATTTGAAAGCATGCAAATGTGTAGATAAAAAGGTACCACTTTAGTAGATTCATTAATGGGGACATGAAAGGATCCCCCAACTGAAACTCCCCTAAGTAACAGTGATGTCACTAGTTAATCCTTTCACCATTTTTTTTCACACAAAAAAATGAAGACAATAAATTTCTCATTCATTCCTTTCCAGTTAAACAGGACGAGGAACCTGTAGATCCCCATGTGTATTGTTGGACTCTAGCAGGGTTGTCAAACTCAATTCCATTGAGGGCCGCATCAGGGTTATGTTTGACTTTGGGGGGCCAGGGTGGGTGTGGCCATTTCAACATCACTTGTATTGGGGGTGCCTGTGGCGGCCCGAGCATTCTGCCAGTGAAAATGGGCTCCGCAGTGCTGTTTTCGGCTGTGTCGGCTTTCTGCAACCCTCTGCCAGCAAAATCAGAACTCAGCAAAATCAGAACTCAGCCATCCCAAGCTCCGTTTTCACTGGCAGAGGCACCACAGGCTGGTCCTTTGCTGTTTCCAGGGCAGCTCTGCGGGCCAGATTCTAGCCCCCAGGCCTTGAGTTTGACACCCCTGAACCAGGGGTGGGATTCTACGGTTCTGTCCAGCTCTGTAGAACCGGTAGCTCTGAAGAGCAGCAGACATAGAACCGGTTCTATGTCTGCTGCTGTTTTGGCTCACCCACCCGCCCGGGCTCTTACCTGACCTTTGTTTCCTGCTTTTTCAACCTCAGCTGCTTTGCGCAGCACAGGTTGAAAAAGCAGGAAAAAAGTGCTTTTTCAAACGCTGCACAAAACGTAAATCACCGAACAGGTAGTTACACCGGTTGGATCCCATCCCTGCCCTGAACTATATCATCAGTTATGATCAGAGCTGGAAAGAGTTATGGTCCACATCAAGTAGCTCATTATGGACTCAATATTGATTAAACAGCATTTGCTTAATATTCATTGATGGAAGATTGCTATATTGACCCATAGCTCATATTTCTATGTCTTTTTCTCAGGGGTGGGGGCAATTTTCAAGAAGCAAAAAGTTTGTGAGTGATTTTCAAATATCTTCCAGTATGAAATGCTCAAGTTTTAGCAGTTCCTTCTCTTTTCCTGCAATCACATTTATTCCTCCTGGCTTTTTAAAATAACACCTCATAGGCCACAACAAAATATTAAATGGGGGATAGGTCCTATTTTTATTTGTTCCAATGTTTGGGTGTGGCATTATTAATCTGAAATGTTCCCTGTGTCCTTCCTGATAGCGGCTTCTACTGTGATTAATCAAAAGGTGTTTGTATTAGCCTTTTTATTATGTGGTAAGAGCAGCTGGGATGGGGAAGTCACTGTTTCTCTTCTCTAGCTGATATTTTAATAGAAAGGAAAGAAGTTAAGAGGCAACACTCCATGTCTTTTAAAAGCTGTGTCTAGAAGCATTCTCAAAGCATGTATGTCAGCTGACAACCTTCAGCTTTGCAAGTGAGGAATTCATGTAACAGTCATCAGCTCTGATGAAATATCAGCTCAGTGATGTAATTTCAAATTCCTCAGTTATGACTTACCAACTTCCTTATCCTAGCAGGTAAGAGTTTTTTCTCAAATAAGTACCAGTAGCTGAGGAGTGGAATTGTAGAACATATGGGTTCAAATAGCTACGAACATTGCTATTACTATAGTTGTGTCGGGAGTGCTGAAGTGCTTCCAGATGGAAAGGATTGAATTGTGTCATCACCATTGCCCAGGGGAGACCCATTCGGCAGCTCTTTTCACATCCTCATTAAGTTGGGTACCAACATGGTACCCATTTATCTACTCACAGTTGCCTGCTTTCTAACTACTGGGTCGGCAGGAGCTGGAGCATGTGACAGTGGCTCACCCCATTCTGCGACAAAAACTGGGTCTCGAAAACTGCAGGCCTGCCGATTGTGAGCCTCAGGTTCTAATCTTGTAAGACGTCATGTTCCCATAAGACCTGATACCTTTTAAATTAACCACTTAAAAAATAAACCTAGACCATGATTTTGAGGGGCAGCTCATCTGATGAATTGTAACCCTTTTTGTAATGTCTAACTCTAAACAGATCTGCTTCTCTTTTATTTATACTTAACTTTTCCCACATATTATATCAGTTTTGTTTTCCTCTTTAAATTGTATTTCCTTTCTATTTCTCCTCACTCCGCTTCCAGACGTATTTTATGGCTATAAGAGTGTGTGTGTGTGTGTTGTATGTGTGTGCATGGTGTTATGTGAATCCTTTCATTGAAGAAGGGACTTTCCAGATATAAATGGAGTTGGCACTCTTAGGTGGACATAATAGGGAAGCTATGTACCACGCAGGAACCTGTTTATAACCTTTTTTTTCATCTGTTTCTCTCTTTGTGCTAAACTCTGAGTCATTTGCCATTTAAAACTGCTAGTTTATAAGACAATCTCTATTAATACAGCAGAGAACAGATTAATTATGAGATATCACTGGGAAACCCCAATATCATTCTTCCAGGATCATCTATGATCTATTCTGGTGTAACATTTCAAGTTGGATTGTTCAGTAGAATTTCTTCAGACATCACAGCAGCAGTCAAAATGTGATGTTGGACCTGCCCTTTGGATTGAATGAAACATTCCTAGTTTGTGGACTGGCCTCTGTGTAACTGAGTGTGGTGATAAGCAAAGTTATTGCTTTTTCTATTTGAAGTGATGTTGAACAAACATTTCTTCCTTCCTATACTGTTCATGTCCTAGGACAAAGTTATTCATCTCTATTGGCCTACTTGGTTCTGATGTTACATATCATTGATTTTATGAACTGAATTGCCAGATATGTAGCAGAGAAAGGTGAAAAATAGCTTTAACATGAAATTTGTTATCTACAGGTTACTTTTTGCAAAATATAAACTATATACATTGAGAAAGTGTGTTGTTTCATTAAGATTCCTGAAAATTGTAAAAGGCTGCCCTCTAGTGCTATTTGTTAAAGATTAAGAATGTACTGTTTATATGTAATATATATGTAATACTATATACAAAAAAACCCAAAGAAAAATCCTTAATCTTGAAGAATTTGATTGAAGCCAATGTTTCTTCTAAAGATCAGTTATATATTTTAAGAATGAACTAAGTATATAATTATAAGGAATTAAATATGCATATATAGAGAATATTGATGACAATAAATTTTGTACAAAGACTTGTTCTACAATTTTGGAAACAACACTCAGAGATTAAAATTATAGTTTATGCAGCATAAAACACATTTCCTCAATTTGAATTGAATTGGATGACATAATATCCAACCAGCTGGCTGAACTTCTAGCCAAATATACCATCTGCTTCTTTGTGGAAATGCATTGGCCTTAAGATGACCTGGACACTGCCATTCACATTATAAATTTACTGGTATGTTTGATCTACTTATTTGGGTATTCTATTTATATAAATGTATATTAAATCAGCTGTTAAGCATCTTCAATGCTGAATATAGTACTTCAAGCCCCATATACTAAAACAACACCATATTGGGAGGAACTGGCCTGGTTTATTTTTAACTGAAAATGAAAAACAAAAAATTGAGCCCTCCAATTTTCAGGAATCATTGCCAGACTGCAAACTGCCATAAAAGAGGGGCTGGAGACAGCTCTGATTTACTGAATACAATTCATACTGATTCTTAAGGAATATAGATGCACGTATACTACAATTGTAAAAAAACTAATTTCTCTGGTCAATCAGAAAATAAAAATATATCTATGTAAAGCCAGACTGCCTTCAAAGTATTCCAGAATGCCATCTACATGATGGGCAGATTTGTTTAGTAGTAATTTAGTCATCTAGTTTTACAGTAATTCCCATAACATGGTGCAGATGCTCTGCCTCACATCTGCAGGATTAAGGTCCAAACCCCTTACTTTCCACTAGGCAGAAAATATTTTTTATCTTGAAACTAAAAGTTAGGAATTGTGGCCGGGAAACGTAGCTTTAAAAATTAACTGGCTAGAATTTTCAGGATCATCTGGAGGAGGGACCCAAAAATAACTGAAACAGAAATTAATATTTTTCAGTCACGAATCACCATAGGAAGAATAAATAAAAATGTCTAGCTAGCTATATAAACAGGGAGGGTGCATGAGAGTGCAACAATTGCAGAAAAGGTGTGGCAAAACTTGAGGAAGGTGCCCAAATGGCTGGCCCAGTGTGAACATAGAGGGGCTGGAGGAGGTAGCTTACCCCAGAGACTTGTGACCTTCTTTGCTGACTTTCTCATTGATTTTCTAGGAAAGCTGCAGGGAAGCTCACAAAAGACAATCATTTGGTCGTGGGGTGCTGTAACTGGTCATAAGTGCAAGCTGGTTGCCACGTGCCCAGATTATGATTATGTGACTGCAAAGCTGCTGGGGCAGCCAGAATTCTGAGCGCTGGTTGTAATCACCATTCATTCAGCACTGTTGCAACTTAAAACAGTTACTAAACAAATGGGTGTAAGTCAAGGACTATCTCTGGTAACAGAATCTTGAAAGCGTGTCAAAGTTTTCCCTCTCCTTTTTGTTACACCAAAGAAAATCACTGTGGAGTAATCTTCTCACCTCCTCTTTTTCAGAGCTCAAATAATGTTTTTTTAATTCCTTCTCTTTTCTTATGGTTATGCATTATTTTGATGTGAATTATCAAATACAAAAAGTCAACTGAAGGCAAAGACTTCACTGTGGTCAGCTCAAACCTTGAAGTTAAGGCAGTGATAGACTGTAAAACCTGACTCATTAGCCCCTTTGTGATGGAACATACATTTATTACATATATTTGCACGTGTGTGTTTTCTTGCAGTTATGTTCCGCCTCTATGATACAGATGGGAATGGCTTCCTGGACAGCTCGGTAAGCTATCCTTCAAACTAGTCCTTTTCTTTAAAAGGATAAGAAGTTATACTTTTTCCCAAATGCATTGGGGCTTTCTTACTGTGATGCCACCACAAAATACTTAGGGTGAGGGATACACCAATGAAATCAGGCTCCAACTAGGCTAAGGCCTGGAAACAAGATCATTCCAAGTTGAGGTTCACAAAAAGGTTTATACAGGTATTTTTCAAAGTTGGCAGGCTCTGGTAAATTTAGCTGGTTAATAGCAGCATCAAAGCTCCTTAAATTTTTCAAAACTGTCTTGATATAGTATATAATTCAATTACCTTGTGGAAAACTTAAATGGAAGGCAATGATATGGGTGTAACTGTGTAATATTACCCTACTGCAAACTCTTTAAAGTGTTTATTCTTAAAAAGAAAAAAAAGTAATCTGACATAATTGTACTAAAGAGGTGGCTCACCTTCATAAAGATATTTACCTTTTTTTTCCTTGCATGCTGATATATAATTGCAACATCTATACAGTATATCACTCACATTATTTTAAAAACATTTACCTTCTTCCATGTTACTTCTAAATTCAGGAGCTGGATCGTATTATCAATCAAATGGTACATGTAGCAGAATATCTGGAATGGGACTCCACAGAATTAAGGCCGGTAAGTTATTTTTCCATGTAGAATCAGCATTTATTTTTTTAAAGTGCTTTGTTCTGCTTTTGAGCATCATTTTTTCATCTGAAGGGCTAGGACATACACAATATTCAATAAACAATGTAAAACTACCTTTTTTCCTTTCCTTTACAGCAAAATAAGCATAGCAATGGATCACTACTAATTAAGATTATCAGATACAAAAGGCTACACCTTCCTCGTAGATGTTTAGCAATATATGCCCTATCCAATGTGATTTTTTTTCATTTTCTTTGGGTAATTCCCCCATGCAGAATACTGACATTTTTGTGTAGCAAATGGAAAGATGATGTAAAACTTTTCCATGGCCCAGTCAGGATTACTCCAACAAACACTTTAAATTTTTTTAGAAAAGTATCTACATACTATTTATATTTAATCTTATGTAGATTGGTCCTGAATTACTGAAATTGAACGATAAATACAAGGATGATCCCTATTTTTATTTCCAGAAGGGTTGCTATCTTAGTCTATTGCAGCAAAACAGAATCTTGTGGCATCTTAAAATTAACTGTTGTCCTTAAAAATGTAAGCTACAATTAGTCTTTAATATGCTACATTTTCTTGTTATTGTTCTTTTTAATGATTTCTTGAGTCATCCGTTAATTCTAAATAGCCATTTAAACCTGTCAAACATATTGTAATAAATCATCACAAATAGAATAGTTCCCAAAAAAGGTTATTATTTTTGAATTTATTTTACAGAATTTTAAGCCATCTTCCACCCACAGATTTTTTTTCTCTTAAAACATCTTTTAAGATATAAGGATAATTATAGTTTCACAAGAAGAGACGTTGGAGGCTTAAAAAGATCTAACTTGGAAAATGTGTAACAACGAACTGCAACGCCAACCAACCAAACAAAACCCGACCATAAAACTAGAATTACATAGAACTCTAAATTACTCTGGGGACTGACTTATCAGATCCAAGTCTGCAGCAAACAAGCATGAATTTAAAAGAAACAAAAGAGTAAGTTGAAGAAGTCAAAGCAATGTGATGAAACCCAGAGATCAGATTGACAACCTGACTGGGATGGAAATATTGTATGATACCTTTAGGTCTCAGTCAGCTAATGGAATCAACTGACAGCATTCAGTCTGTGAGATTAGCTGATTATATTCAGGCTGAAATTACAGCCTAGATTTGTCTCCACTGTCTAACTACTAGACTGTGATTCACAATGCAAACACCAGTGCCCTTGATTCTTTAACTTAATGTTGCAATCAATTTTGTTTCCCATGCTAATGTTCAAACCTACAGAACATTTCCTATCATAAAAATAATTGCAACAAAAATATGTATGATGTACATAGCTTTGTCTTCTACAGATTTTGAAAGAGATGATGGAAGAAATAGACTATGATCATGATGGAACTGTGACACTTGAAGAATGGATTCGGGGTGGTATAACCACCATCCCTCTGCTCGTTCTTCTAGGCATGGAAACAGTGAGTAACAGGCCTGACCTCACAACAATAAGCCAAACTTTCCCAACATGGTATGTTTCTAGAGTAACAATATTTCTAGCTAGGATAGGAGGGCGTTATTATTTGTTGTATAACCTTTCTTTCTACACATTACGCAATGTGACTAACAATAATTGAAATGCAAAATGGAAAATGGAAATTAAACATAAAACATAAATTAAAACCAAACCAAATATTATTTAACGGGGGGGAAAGCCTGGCAAAAGATATCCATTCAGCTACTTTTTTTCCAAGGCAAAATAATACACTGCTCAAAAAAATAAAGGGAACACAAAAATAAGACATCCTAGATCTGAATGAATGAAATGTTCTTATTAAATACTTTGTTCATTACATAGTTGAATGTGCTGACAACAAAATCACACAAAAATTATCAATGGAAATCAAATTTAGCAACTCATAGAGGTCTGGATTTGGAGTTACACTCAAAATTAAAGTGGAAAAAAACACTACAGGCTGATCCAACTTTGATGTAATGTCCTTAAAACAAGTCAAAATGAGGCTCAGTAGTGTGTATGACCTCCCTACAACGCCTGGGCATGCTCCTGATGAGGTGGTCTCCTGAGGGATCTCCTCCCACACCTGGACTAAAGCATCCCCCAACTCCTGGACAGTCTGTGGTGCAACGTGGCGTTGGTGGATGGAGCAAGACATGATGTCCCAGATATTCTCAATTGGATTCAGGTCTGGGGAACGGGCGGGCCAGTCCATAGCATCAATGCCTTCGTCTTGCAGGAACTGCTGACACACTCCAGCCACATGAGGTCTAGCATTGTCGTGCATTAGGAGGAACCCAGGGCCAACCACACCAGCATATGGTCTCACAAGGGGTCTGAGGATCTCATCTCGGTACCTAATGGCAGTCAGGCTACCTCTGGCAAGCACATGGAAGGCTGTGCGTCCCCCTAAAGAAATGCCACCCCACACCATTACTGACCCACTGCCAAACCGGTCATGCTGGCGGATGTTGCAGGCAGCAGAATGTTCTCCACGGCATCTCCAAACCCTGTCACGTCTGTCACATGTGCTCAGTGTGAACCTGCTTTCAATTGTGAAGAGCACAGGGCACCAGTGGCGAATTTGCCAATCTTGGTGTTCTCTGGCAAATGCCAAATGTCCTGCACGGTGTTGGGCTGTAAGCACAACCCCCACCTGTGGACGTTGGGCCTTCATACCACCCTCATGGAGTCTGTTTCTGACCGTTTGAGCAGCCACATGCACATTTGTGGCCTGCTGGAGGTCATTTTGCAGGGCTCTGGCAGTGCTCTTCCTGTCTCTCCTTGCACAAAGGCAGAGGTAGCGGTCCTGATGCTGGGTTGTTGCCCTCCTACGGCCTCTTCCACATCTCCTGATGTACTGGCCTGTCTCCTGGTAGCGCCTCCATGCTCTGGACACCATGCTGACAGACACAGCAAACCTTCTTGCCACAGCTCGCATTGATGTGCCATTCTGGATGAGCTGTACTACCTGAGCCACTTGTGTGGGTTGTAGACTCCATCTCATGCTACCAGTAGAGTGAAAGCACTACCAGTATTCAAAAGTGACCAAACCATCAGCCAGAAAGCATAGGAACTGAGAAGTGGTCTGTGGTCACCACCTGCAGAACCATTCCTTTATTGGGGATGTCTTGCTAACTGCCTATGCTTTCCACCTGTTGTCTATTCCATTTGCACAACAGCATGTGAAATTGATTGTCAATCAGTGTTGCTATCTAAGTGGACAGTTTGATTTCACAGAAGTGTGATTGACTTGGAGTTACATTGTGTTGTTTAAGTGTTCCCTTTATTTTTTTGAGCAGTGTAAATAAATGTATACGTAACTACCGTTATGAAGACCAAAAGCCACTTCTTTATTATTCTTTATTTTTTCTTTCATTTATCTTCTTTTCTACTTCTTTTTCTATATTTTTTTTCACTTTTCTATTATTTTTCTACATACTTTTCTCTTTGTTTTTTACTCCATGGAAAATGCATTTAATAAAAATTAATTTAAGAGTGGGAGCCCAATAGAATCCCAAAGGTGGACATTCCACAATTAGAAGAAGGTCTTCTCCTGCGTACTGAATGAATCCGGCTTTGAAAACAAGTCATCTTCTGAAGGGCCTCTTATGTAGAACTTCACATCTAGAAAGATTTGTAATAGGAAAGGAAATATCTCAGATAATCAGATTTCAAGCTTTTGTAATTTTGAAAATTAGTACCAATACTTTAAACTGTACCCAAAAAGCAATTATGGGAATTAAGTTGAGAAAAGGTGCTATACCGAATGTGACCTTCTGAAGGAAATTGGATATATCAATCAGAATCTGCTTACAAGAAAACTTTCACCAATAATCTAATTATAGTTTGCAATTATTTTTATTAACATTTGCATTGCTTGGTGGACTATAAAGAGAGGATTGAAGAAATGTTGTCCATTGCAAAGCAATCATTTATCTAATTTTTACTTTCAGAAAAGTTTAACATACTGCTTTTGATATGTAACATACATAACAGTATGTATGTTATATATGTTATCTCTAAGGGATAAAGCACATGCGGGATAGTGCAGTGTAAAGCAAAAGAGCTTCCAATGAACATTCACTTGAATATACACAGCCTCTTAGACTCTTTTAAGTCTCTGACCTTCTGAGAGTGCAAATATTGCAAAATCCAGATTCTCAATTTCCTTCTAGCCATAGACACTAAGAACATCTTGTCTGTCTGGACAATATCCAAGGATTGTGTTAACAGTTATCCAAAGCTTCTAAAAAGTGAAGGAGATCAATATAAATAAATTGGATTAGGTTCAAATTAAATCTAATAATATAGTAATTAATTGTGCATTGTTCTATTATAGTGCTATGGAACCAATATCCATTTTACCCCCTTCATCTGCTCTAGATTCTTGAGACATACAGTACAAGCAACCTTTTGAATTCCTGGTGTAAACATTGTCTGATACATCAACAGCAGGAGCGATTTACTCAGTTTCACTTCTATAATCTCATGATTTAGGAATCCTATCTTTAGAAGGTAATGTGGTCATCTGATGGATTTTGAGAGATTATCTGATGCTCTTGACTTCTTGAGCAATCAGATAGAAAAAATACAATAGGAGAGTGAGAGAGAGAGAGATTCTTAAAAATAAGGGTATTAGTCATCAGCCCTAGTAATTACAGTTGTGTACCATCAAAGGCAATATGGCTCTGAATGTCAGTTCCTGAGGAACACAAGTAGGAGGATGTTAATGTGCTCTTTATGAGGTTTCCATAAGCTTTATTGACTATTGTGGGACAATAATCTCAAACTATGTAAGGTGTTTTTTTTCTGATCCATTACATTACTTATTAGAAGATAAGCAGCATATTTTGTTATCCGGCAAAAAACCTGGGATAATAAAGTTGTATAAAGTTCTGTTCATTTAAAAATTGTGAATTCTATATTTTATAAATTTTCTATTCAGGATAGGCTGAATGGTTGCTTTTTTCTTTTCTTTCAACATTTTGGTAGCATGTCACTTCCTATTTTACGTGGCCACATGGTAAAAGGCCATTTGTTCCTTTGGAAACAACTGGCCTGATTTAATGACTACAGTCCGCTATACTTGTCTGTTTCATTGGGATTAGTGGATTCTGCCTAATTTTATAATTTTCTGGATTAACTCTCATGAGTCCCAATTAGAAGGCTTTGCTTTGTCCTTAAGGGAGTATTGTTTGTGATCTTTTTGTAAATGAGTGAAATACAAAATAAAATAAAGTGAAAATGCAAAATAAAAGGCAAATGAACTGAAAATTGTATAATGCAACTGTTGAAAATCACCTCCATGAACTTACTGGTGCAACTTTGGTGCTTGGCTAATGGTTTTATCTGGCTCAAATTAGGAATCCCTAAGCTAAATGTTTAGGGAGGGGAAAGACCAAGTTGCACTGAATAGTATAAAAATATTAGTGTTTTGTGCCTCTGTAAGTAAATGTAATCCAAGATTAGATTTTTTGCTGAAGTCTCCATGCATATCACTGTATCCCAGCTAGACATGCTAGCCACTATAACCATTCAAAAGTGAATATTTGAAATTGTATTATACAGATATTAGTAATAAAGCACTCTGGAGTACCTTTTGCTGTAAAGGCACTCATGGAATCATGTTGATTCATTCTCTTCCAAATTAGGTACTTGCTTTTTCAGTACTTATCACAGAGGTGATTGCATATAGTGTACTCTATTGCCAAATACTGCACACCTGTATGGGGAGGTTGTCCTATGCATAAGATTGATGTTCACCTTAATGACACAATGAGAATAATATCTGGAACCCTTAAATCCACACTGCTCTCGTCTCATGGCTTCATGTTCTTTCTAACATTGCACCTCCTGACTGATCCCAGATGACAACAGACAGTTTGAAAGTGGAATAAAATAAACACGCCGAATGGCCGAGAGCCTGCAATGTGACTAGTGCACCAGAACAAAACTACTGTATAATACATAGCATTCAAGAATGTCTCAAGAAATTTCAAGGCACCTGGGATGACCTCATTCCAGCCATACCAGAAGCAGTTAGATGGTTAGCTTCCTTATATATTGAATTATAACATCTATCACATTGCAATTCTATGGCTCCATATTATGGTGATTTTATTATGGTTTTATCTTAATTTAATATATTATCTCCTATATTGTATTGTCTACACATGCGCACACGCGCACGCGCGCGCACACACACACACACACACAGAGTTTAAACTAAAACTGTATTTTAATGATTGCATGACCTCTGTTGATGTCATATGTTAAATAAATAAATAAAATAGAGGTGCTACTATTGACAGGACACCCACCCATGTTTTATATTTGTCAGAGTCGCTGGTAACACCTTCTACTCACCCCCCAAAAAAGTCTACCATCCATTACAGAAAATTGTAATTATATCATTCTATACTAATTGCTGAGAAAAACAACATATTTACATTTTTACAAATTCAAGTTATAATCCATTAGAATATTCAATCTTTGTCTTTTGACTATGTGATACTACATAAATTATTTAGACTAATTTCCCCAAAATGGTAGCCAAAAATATTGGACAATGGCTATTTTGATTGACTTACCCACTGTAATCAGACAGAATCTCCAATCAAAATAGTTATTGTTGGAGATGATAGAAATGTACTGTAGCATATCAGGAGAAGATCAAGTCAAGATAGGTTAATGTATTCTCTAGGTAATTATTTATCATGAGTCTTAGATTATTTTCTTGCATGGTAGTAAAAGTTTAATTTTTAAAAAATTCTGTAGCTGCTTCTTCAAAAAAGAAAGAGAAGCTAGCAAAACTATAACTTAGGTTAATTCAGACAATTATTTACAGGTTGTTGACATGCCAATTAAGTTCAATAAGAGTATCTGTGTGAGGAAAACTGATGAATGTTTTCTATAATTCTTTTGTTCTGATAATATTAGTTCACATTATGAAGAGATAATATCAATAATTGTGTAAAGCGTATATTTCTGTGATTGGGTCATTCATGGATCATTGGAGATTCATCATACTGATTCTTCTCTGCTAAGTTAACTCTTTTTTTAAAAAAAAATCCCTACAGAATATAAAAGATGATGGCCAACACGCTTGGAGGCTGAAACATTTCAAGAAGCCTGCCTACTGCAATTTTTGCCGGACTATGTTACTGGGGGTTAGGAAGCAAGGCTTGTGCTGTTCCTGTAAGTCCCTGCAGATGCACCATAATTATGGCTATTGAGATTGCCTGCATGTTAGTTGGGAAGGGTCATGCCAAAATCTCCCCTAAAGATGGGGAGAGGATTTCTTGATTTAGTTTCTGTTTAATCTTAAAACAGAGATAGTAAGACTTCAATATTTCCAGTAGGTTCCTTTCTCAAAGGAAGCTTGAGATTTTTCCAGTTGTACACCATTTATATTATAGAACCAGATACCAGATAATCCACTTTCAGGACAACCAAAGTAACAACTAAGAGAGAATAGTCTTTTCTAGGATTTGGATGGATCTACTTAAAAAGTTGAATGTTGTGTGCTTTAAGAGCTTCCTGTTGTCACAGCTGTTCTTTTCAATTGAATAAATTAATTAGTGTCAATGATACTGAAGAATCCCAAAGACTAAAAAAGTTCATGTTTAAAAAGAAAAATATTATAAGACGAAACCAAACAACAGTCTTTTACTGAAATAGATTATTTTACAAAAGCCTAGATCAGGGGTGTCAAACTCATGTCATCATGGCGGTGTTACATGACATATCGGGATGTTTTCCCCCTTTGCTAAACCAGGCGTAGGCGTGGCCAGCATGTGATGCATCCGGCCCGTGGGCCAAGAGCTAGACAGCCCTGGCCTAGATGAAAGAGGCATGTCCTAAGTTGCCATCTAAAGAAAGCTTGGAGGCCAACCTTGGGACAAGAGTTTCAAATATTAAGGTAGGATAGATGGCTATTGAGAAGTGTCCCTGGATTCAGTAGAACATAATTTATAGTAAATTAATAAAGATGGCAACTGTTAATACATTACTTTTAAAATTTAACTTATGGGAATCTGAGGTTCAGAAGATATATAAATATATTGATTGTAAACCCCATGCTGAGAAATGATGCTAGAACAAATGCACCACCTCTGCTCTGTTCCTAGCCAGCCAGAGGTCATCCACAACTGTGATCAATTCCATCTCAATAGCGAATGGGGAATCTACTACCCTGGGTTATGACAACAGTTTACTCGTTTAGAATTTTCTCAAGAATTGTATATATAATTGCATACATGGAATAATATATTTTAACAGTCAAACTTTAGAAGTAGCTGGAAATTGCCCTCAATACAATAATTTAGAATGATTCTCTTTTTTCCCCCTTTCTACAGTTTGTAAATATACTGTCCATGAAAGATGTGTGTCCAAAGATATTGCTCCTTGCATCAGTACTTATGTAAAATCCAAGAGAAATACAAATGTAAGTGAGGCATATGTGGAAGATCAGTACTATGTGTCCACTATTTAATCATCTGCCATGAATTCAAAAGCCATCTGTATGTAGAACATGCAGCCCATACTATCATACTAATGCTATTTTAGTAAAAGAGATCTCTCTCTTAAGACAACTGTGATTTTGATATAATATATACATATCAAGTCTCAGATGGTGGAGTTTATATCTGGGGCAGCATTTGCAGATAAGCTTTAGGATTAATTTTTTGTTTGCAAAGTGATAATGTGTTCTTTTTGACTCCATTTAAATCTTGTTGCCTTAAATGTTGTATTTAGTGAAAATCAGCATTTAATACAAAGTAGGTCCACAAAAATACTGCCTTCCATATCTTCCCATCTTCAGTACCTGAACCAAACTCAATTAACTACTTCAACCGTATTAATAGGTACACTAGATAAATAATACTGTACATCAACAGTACTAATAAGTACTACTAGAGAAATTAAAACTGTGCTGAAATTGTAACTCTGTTAAGATTCAAACGGCATGCTCTCTGTTGCAAAAAAAAAAAAAAAAAAGCCAAGAGTTGCAGTTAGTACAGGAGCTAAATTGAAACTTTGGTTTTGAATCAGACATTGAAACATTAGAGAGATGTAGTTGTTTACAGTGTACGCACATGTGTATACAATACTGATTAAGAGCTGCTTCCACGGGTATGCACATTATAAGTTATAATGTAATGGTGAGTGGGAAAGACTTTGGGACATGGGGCAAAGAGATGCTAACTAGGGAACCATCAGATAAGAGACAGCATAGCCTTCAGCTGCAGACTGAGCAGAGCAAGAGGCTCTGAAGGGACTCTTCATAAGTTCTCAGACTCTAAAGATGATAGCAGGAGAACTTTCCCACTTGCAAAATTCGATTAACATAGCTTTACAGCAAATTAAATTTAGTCTATCTGGTCATGTTCCCTGTCTGGTCTACCAGATAAGGCTGATAGTTAATCTATTTACCTACAACCATTCATGTTTTCATAAATGTATAGATAGGCAGCCCCGTAGTGCTTTTCAGCATTCTCGGGGTGGTTTACAATGACAGCATATTGCCCCCAACAACCTGGATTCTCATTTTACCAATCTCTGAAGGATAGAAGGTTAAATCAATCTTGACTCCTGTCAGGATTGAATTCCAAGCTGTGGGCAGAGTTTGTCTGTAATGCTGCATTTTAACCACTGTGTCATCAGGGCTCTGGTATAAATGTCTAGAAATAATCAGAGAAAACAATTCCCTAAACTGAAGATGGGAACATTTCCTGTACTAGAAACTTCCCTAAATTAATAATATCCTCCCTTTCTACCAAGCTAGTTGAACAATTTTGCATTTCTAGGTTATGCAGCATACATGGATTGAGGGCAATTCCCCAGCCAAGTGTGATCGATGTCATAAAAGCATCAAATGCTACCAGGGAATTACCGGACTACATTGTGTATGGTGCCAAATCACAGTGAGTATGTGAAGAGAATGTGGTCTTTTTATTTTTAACCCCAAAATATGGAAATCTGCTTTAGTCACAACAGATTGTTATACATTTACATTAATAAATTTTGTGACATGTTTGTAAGAAATAAAGGTTCATCTTCCGTTACTACTGTAGCAATCCCTCCTAATCCCAAAAATAGCCATTATTCAGTAAATTATAAAGAAATCATAAATGCTAAAAAATATTGTAGCTCAACAGTTCATGCCACTATGCATCACCTCTTTTATAACCCTGATTCTGACCTATATGAAGTAAATCTTTGTGAAAAGGAAGGTCTACAAGAAGGCTTCAGAGGCAAAATTGGCTTTCTCAAGGAACACATCCAGGATTGGATGATAACAATGATATTACCCACTTTGCAACTATTGTGAACTATTATAAGCACCACTGTGGTACAAAAATAAAGCTCATAGGATGCATTGCTTTTTTTTCTATTTGAAGGCATTTATTTTTATCGTTATGTGTGGTGAATGGTACTACATGCCTCTTAAGTGCAATGACAGGTACAGAAGTTTACCAGATCTGCAGATATTAGGGCAGGAAGAACAGAGCTGTTTAAAAACATGATTTCTGATTTTATTAATTTAAACTCTTCTCCTTTTCCAAAGAACTCAAAGCAGTTCTTTGAAGAAACAGCAACAGAAACAATTTCATAGAGTTACAAGCTGATTACAACAGAAAAGCATAACCTCCCACAATTCCTGAAGCTCCTCCAGAGCTCCTCCTAAAAGTTAGCAGCAAATCGTAATTTTTAATGTGATAGAGGAAGGTATAATGTTGGACAGTTGTAGCTTCCAAGTGATCTTAAAGGTCAAACCATGTAAAACACATTGTCCATGAGCAAGGTCTTCCAGTCCAGAAAAGGGCACAGTTGGTGTACAACATGGATCTATGCAAAGGTCCCCCTCACAGGAATCATGATTCTAGGAAAATCTCACAAATTGTGCACCAGCTCAATCTGAGGAAGTGTGACCCTTTTCAGATTTCAATGGTGATAAATCACCAGACGCTGAAAGGACCAAAAGCATAGAGCCACTCCATCTTGCCAGGTCTGGACTGTGGGGTCTTCCCTGACATTTGGTCAGTCACAACAGTATCTGCCAAGCCAAGGCTAGAGATGTATAACTGTATCATGGGCATATTTCCCCCCCTCCATTTTGGTACAAAGAATCACTATTTTCTCATTAGCTTAATTCCTTAAGGAATTACCTCTCCCAATAGAAAGCAATGGCTTTTCTGCTGTGCTGTAGACTAAAAGCCATCTTATCAAAGAAACATCAAAGAAACATCAAGTGCTTTGCTAATCTGATATAATTTTCTTGATCACAAGTACAGGAAAAAATTAGAGGATCAAATGGATATGGAAGCAGGAAAGTAAACATTGGTACATGCTGTTTTCTTTTTTTTTAAAGCTTCACAACAAATGTGCCTCACATGTGAAACCTGAATGTGATGGTGGGCACCTCAAAGACCACATCTTGCTGCCTTCTCAGATCTGCCCAGTTGTTCTGGTAAATGAGTCAGCTTGGCACATATCAAATTGTTTTAATGAGTGATATTTTCTTGTTGATTCAACTTCTGTCTCACTTAAGGCAACTGGATAATATAGTCTCATGATCCAAAAGGTTTTATCCAAGCTGATTTAGTTAATTAGATTAACCATTCCAAACCCCTGTAACATTTGTGAATTGCACCATGAATAAAGGGCTGAAGCAATACTTTTAATTTGGAAATATTACAGAAAAGGCCAGTAAAAGGGACCACGATGATTCAGAATGATTCTACAGAGAAAATGGATAATAAGACTAGATAATTCAGTGGAAGTCTTTCCATAGTTGCTAATCATGATGGCTTTATACCTTCTCCAAGATCAGAGGCATTATGTCTCAATTAAATCTTGTTTGTGGGAATTTTATGACTACTGTTATGCAGAAGCTACTTTTGGGGTGATATTTTCAGAACTTAATTATAATTTGTAGCAAAATTGCTAGGTTATCCAAGATCATTTGGAATTTATAAAATGCATGTCCTGTACCAAATGATAAGTTTTGCACTGTTTAATAGGCAGCATTTTAGTACCCATGTGTTATACAATATCCTTAGTCTTTTGTGGTCTTACATATTTTTATACTTAGAATTCTATCATTTCCTCTCTGTTTATGTCATTAGTACTTCTTTGCTATCTATTTTTAAATGTCCATATCCATCTTTGACTCTTCAAAAGGATAGGCAATCCCACTCACGAAGATCAGAGAGTGAATCACCATCCAGCACCACCCCCGAGGATACAAACATGATCTTCAGATACAATACTACCACAGTGGATGAACATGGACTGCAGGTGGGTAGCTGATAGCATCTTTTCTCCCTTGTACATGTATGGTTGTATTTACCCATGGAGAAGCACTTTCATCATTGTGACCAGTAGTGGGCCACTTTGGAGAAAGATATACAGAGTCAAATATATTAGTCCTTTAACCTGCTTATAAACCACTCTGAGACTAAATAGCCCCAAAGCAATGTATGCCCCCACCTAAAAGCTACCATTCCCTTCTCCATTTCCATATATAAAGTCAAATAGCCTGGAAGTTGCATCTTTCTTTGTATTAACATTGGAACAGTATTATTATTATTTTTTTGCATTCCTGAAGGCAATTTGATAGTTTACATTCATGTTTCTCAACCTGAGCATTCTTAAGATGAGTGGACTTCAATTCTTAGAATTCCTCGTCAAGCATGGTTCTGGGATTTGAAGTTTGTGTATCTTAAAGTTGCTGAGATTGAGAACCATTGGTTATGGAATGGAAGGAAAATTACATGCCATGTTGCATTTCCCCCCCATAATATCTTGCTTCTACCTTCCAGCATCTGTTTTTTTGAGGTACATGACTCACTCTGCCTAATGGAAGACCTTGCCCCAGTCCACAAATTATTATGTTAAACTGTGTATGTGTTAATAGCAGAACATTCATCCCCATAGAATTTCCTCTAGTTTAATATTCAGCGTGTCTTCTCTTTAAAAAAAATATTATAATGATATAGAATCGATGCTTGCAAATGTTTGATTAGGCTAATATGTGTCATGCCCTTAAGAATTTAATCACTTGATGTGTATCAAAAAGGTGCAGGACGTCACAAGCCTCCCAAATAAAGATGTCCATTTATTATTCTGTGTCCAATTTGGATACAAATTTTGTCCCAGTGTATAGCAAGACAATGTGCAAAAAAGGTGCAAAGAATAGCACAGTTTGGAGAATCGTAATGTTTCTCCATTTCACTAGATCCTATTTACCTAACATGTTTCTAGTTAGTTGTTTTGCTTCATCTGTAACTCTGCCATATCACTTCTTTCTCCTCCTTTCTGCACAATGTTTGTATGTTGTGCAAGGAGTCTGCTTGTTTGATATCCACTTTGGTTTTCAGATCACGCCTAAGCCAGGAACACACCCATTGCTGGTATTTGTGAACCCCAAGAGTGGAGGAAGGCAAGGAGAAAGGTATGTTTCCCCCTTCTTTTGGAAAATTGTACATTTCCAGGATTTAAGATTGTGATACAAAAAATGCACCAATAAATTGTTGTAGGCAAATAAATTATCTTCAGGCAAATGTTTTATGGCAGATTTTCCCCTATATTCAAACTGTAATGTTCCTTATAAAGTGCAGTTATGATTCCAGGTATTTTTTACCATTACTCTTACAAGTATAAGAACAAGCAAAAGAAGCTTACCTTTGAACAAGGAGCCCTTGGGGCTCAGTGGTCAGAATGCAGTATTGTACTGCATACATTGCCCACAGCCTGGAGTTGGATCCTGACAGGGCTCAAGGTTGACTGAACCTTCCATCCTTCAGAGATCAGTAAAATGAGGACCCAGATTATTGGGGCAATATGGTGATGTTGTAAACTGCCCAGAGAATGCTGTAAAGCACTATGGGGTAGTATAAAAGTCTAAGTGCTATTACTAAGTGCTATAAGCTTCTGTGAATGTCCTGAAGCAGGAAACTGCTATAGTTTAGCACCAGAATATCAATTTTGAATGCAGACTCCAGAATCCAGATTAAATAATTTGCATTTTGAGATAATGGTAAAACAGATTTCAGAGTAGAACTCTGGAGAGCTGCTACCAGTCAATGTAAAATGTTGGTTAAAAAAATTGATGTTTGCCTAGAATAGTTGACCAGGCTGGCTGAGATTATTGGAAGTTGTAGTTCCACATCGCCTGGAACTATAAAATTGTAGAACTGGAAGGAGCCATTAAGTGCAATTCCCTGTTCAAATGAAAATGGAAGTATCCAAAATAGGTGGCCACCAAGCCATTACTTGGACAAATCTAGCAAAGGGGAGCATACTATCTTCCTTGCTAATTGATTCCATTGACAATCTGCCCTTCCTGTTACGAAGCTTTTCCTAACACTCAAATGGAATCTACTTTCCTATAATTAAAGGCTATGTTTTCCTGTTGTACACATTGTCAGAAAACAAATCCTCACTTTTTTTCTGTAAATCTGAAAGCATTATCATGCTTTTCCCATTGCCTTCATTCATCTTTCCTTTAATCCCTCAAGTCCACTTCCCTCAGCCTCTTCGAGGACTTCATAACCTCCTTTCCTAACCTCAATTGATTCTGTACATAGCTTTTTTTGGTGCCATATCTATAAATCAGTCTTACTGGCATGTATTCTTCCTTGGTGACTGCCCCCCCTTTTTATGTGGGTTTTTTATTTAGAGATTTCCCCTAACGATTGTTTCTTTGTTTGTGCAAAGGTAAGCTTCTTTTGCTGTGTTCCACTTTTTCTTTTTAATTTTTATTGGGGGGAGGGAATGCTGTTCTTAGTGACTCCTGTTTTAGGAATTCCCACCCAATCTTTGAATAATTTTCACTTTCGTGTTTCTTGCCACGGAATCCTACTTTTCATTGATTGAATTTATTAATTTAAGTTTCCATTAAAATCAATTACATTATATAGTACATTACATAGTCATTTTATCTCATGTTCTTGCTTACTTCCACTTCCTCAATTATTGTAGTTATTCTCATAATAAGTGTAGCTGAAGCTCTGGTGATCTTGTCCACTATTAGAAGAAAAAAGTAATCTGCAAAACAATGGAAAAAATAATAATTTTCCTTGACTCTCCTTTTTACAGCTGTTGACTCTTATTTTTCTTACTTTTAGGGTACATAGGAAATTCCATTACATACTCAATCCCAGACAAGTTTACAACCTGGATCGTGGAGGACCTAATCCTGGGTATTGAAATTCAAAACATGGCCTTATTTCACATATTTGCTTGTTTGTTTGTCATATTTAGAAATTGTTGGTCTTCCTTATTATTACTTGTTTCCTTTGTGTTGTCTCTGATCTATTCTTTTTATCACTTCACTTCTTTTTTCTCTTTGCTTCTTTCCTAAGTACAATTTCTCTTATTTCCTCCTCCTTCCCTACATAAAAGCTTGTTCATATGCCTTAGATTGAGAATCTCAGCTGATTGTTGGTCTTTTAAAGTATGTATATGCTGGGTTGTATTATATTTGCTACATTTGTGTTATTGAGTCAACTGGATCTCTATCAATTCATGAAAGAATACATGTGGATGTTTCATTGTAATACCAAGGAACAATGCAGCAGATGTTATTTGCAGCTGAGATTATATAGTGTGTTGCTGTTAGTGGAATTATATCTAAAGTTTACATAAATACTAAGAAATCTATGATTTGAGCAGGAATAAATAGAAAATAAATCTCATTCATAAAGTGTAGATTGGACTCTAAACTGCATTATTTCTTTGTCAACTAGATTGCACTTAATCATTCACCTGTTCAGTTGAGAATAGCAAAATATTATCTTTTTTTAAATCTTGAACAGCACAACTAATATGCTTTTCTGTGTGTTCACTTCTGTATACTATTGTAGAATTTGAAAAGCAACCATCTAAATCAGACCTTCCTCAGTCTTATACCCTCCAGATAGTTCAGATTATAAATTCCAGAATGTACTTGGAAGGTTGGGGGAGAATGTGGCATTTTTCATACTGTACAATAAGCATCCGTTTCTAAACTACTTCCTTTTTTGCCTTCTATTTTTTCTTAGATTAAATTTTTTCCATGATACCCCAGACTTTCGTATTTTGGCTTGTGGAGGGGATGGGACGGTTGGATGGATCCTGGACTGCATAGGTAAATTAGGATCTGTCAATAGTTGATAAATGAAATTATCATTAGAAGCATGGATCAAGTCTAGGGTCACTGCTAAGAGAAGGGAAGGAGAGGCTGAGGTTCTTCTTTCTCATGAATATGCATATCTCTGTCCAGTATAACAAAAGAAACTGTGAATTAGAGAACTCTGACAAGAAAGGAAGATACTTATCATCTACTTCTTCATAGTTGTTAAGATAAGGAGCTACAGTTGCACAGATTAAAATCAACAAGCAAAGTTTAGATGAAAAGAGTAAGCCTAGGTTTTAACCTTCTTGCTATGAGGAGCAGAGAAGGTGGCTATTTACACATCTTGTAATCAATTATATTAACATTCATTATTTACAATTTAATTTATAGTATACCACCAGTGTGGTAGTGTCACCTCCCCTCTCCTGCTGTTTCAATATTGGCTATAGCTGTATGTTCTGACCATCACATCGAACTTAATAAAGGCTGAGGAAGGACCTCTGGAAAGTAGCTTAGCTATTATTTTGCTTGTGGCCACTCACTGTAAGATTTATCTCCTTCTCTCAGAGACTCTAAATGTTAGAAATATTTCATACCATGGCAATTTTTGTGCCTATCTTGTAACAAAAAAAATGCAGTCCCTTAAAGATGGGGAGAAATGTTGTTGGGGGCAATATGCTGACATTTGTAAACTGCTCAGAGAGTGCTGTAAAGCACTGTAAGTGGTATATAAGTCTAAGTGCTATTGCTATTCCTATTGATTAAACTGTGGCAGAAGGGAATGATGCAGATGTAGAGATAAGGTTCATCATAATTATCAGAGACTCCACTATACTAATCCCCAACTCCTTCCTCCCCCTCCACCCTTTCTTTCACTAATAATCGATTCTCATCCATTACATCTATCATGTTGAGGCCAAGTCTTCTAGACAATTTGCTTCAGGTACATCATGTACTCTCCCTGCTGTTGCTTTTTATTTTTAGTCAGTGAACACAATTCAAGTGAATTCTATTCCCTTGGGAGTTATTAAGCTTTATTACTCCTGTGAGCTCTCCTCTGGCAGATGTTGCAAAAGAAGGTCATCAGACCCAAAGGCCTATCTGTGGGCCTCTGATGGTTGCTTATTTCTTTGCAGATAAAATGAACTTAGCAAAGCACCCTCCTGTGGCTATCCTGCCATTGGGAACAGGAAATGATCTTGCCCGCTGCCTCCGATGGGGAGGAGGTAAATCTCTTAAGTCAGCTCAATGTTTTGGTTCGTTCACCATGATTTCATGCCATGACTTGCCAATGATTCCTCTTGCTAGCAGTCCTATGTGTTGTTGAAACCTGTCAGCTGTTTTTAATGCCATTAACCATTTTCTGTGCTTTGTTGCTGTAATGAATATGGGGAAATTTCATGGAAAGGTAGCTTCACTTTACCACCCAGAAGATAAGTGGAGAAAATTAAACATTTTTCCACAATTGAACACCAAGGAGCCAATCAGTTTTCCTTCTCAGATGGGCATGTAAACAGAGGAAAGAGAGCAGGCATTCTTTTGTTTTTGTTTTTTGTGCTTCTCCTTTGATGCCAGCTAATTGCATAGGAAGACAAAAGTTCCATATTTGGCAGCTACAGGAGAGGAAATAGTAAATCTGGACAAAAAAACTTGACCAGTGAAGCTGGTTGTAGTATAGATCTGCTGCATTTTGTGGATTGGGATGTGGGCTGTGTAAACTTTATGGCATGTATATGTGTGAGGGATCCTGGAGTTTAGCAAACATCTATTTCCTGGGCTAGTAGGAGCTGAGATCAACTTATTCAAGAGATATTTGTTCATTTTTCTTTATTTTCCATTTGCAACATAAGTTTCTGATCTTGTTTTATATAATTTATATTCTTAAGTAGTACTGATTCTGGAAAAGAAATCTAATCTTTGCATACACTTTCCTATCAGGTCATGCTACTGAAAGAAGAGGCCACTTACCACCTTTTTTGTAAAACAGTGGTAGAATGGGTTTTTAAAATGACTCGTACAGTGGTGGGCTGGAACTGGCTCACAAAATCTGATTATTAAATTTTCTGGAATGTTATGAGCTACTTGAATACAGATATGAGCTATGATGCTTATGGTACAGAGTAGTGGCAGCAATACAGTTGGGATTGTTAATTGTTATACATTTATAAGTACACCACTGAGCTATCACAACTAACATACTTAATTGGCTCTCCCCTGGGGAGTTGTGAGATAAGAGTATGGACATCTTGGTAGAAATGCACGTATGCTGAAGCCATCATGCCTGGTGTGCATGCATACAGTATTAAAGTACCATTGGAGGCTCTTCACAATCACTCTTGATCTCCATGATGTGGATGCATTCTTATTTAGAGTACATATCCCATGAAGATATCCCACAATATTCACCATGCAGCCAGCAGCTATAGACAATCAATAACTGTATTACTCACAAAGTACTGCTTCATAGTACTGCTTCAATTTGAACTATCTTGCAATTTAACATTATTATTAGGGCTGGGATTTTAAATGATCTTTATATGGAATGCACATTGCTGGCCAAGAGACTGATGCCAATGTTTTTGCCACCAGCAATTAATTGAGAGTTGGGGATGGAGTACAAGGCCTCAGACTTCAACCCAAAATCCAGTTATGTTGTTGGGGAAGTTTATGCTACATCAGATTGATTTCTGCTTCAAATTGTAGATTCATCTGCCTTTCTTTTCTGGCTATATATTCTGCACAGCCCATCACTGCCTGGCCTTCTCTTACTCTGTTTCCCCATTAATGCTTGGCAAATTCCACCATAACATTCTGTTCTTCATCACCTGTCAATTTTTATTTTTCTATTCCAAGGTTATGAAGGAGGCAACCTAATAAAAATACTTAAAGATATTGAGCACAGTACTGAGGTAATGCTGGACCGATGGCAAATTGATGTCATTCCCAATGACAAAGAGGAGAATGGAGATCCTGTCCCATACAGCATCATCAACAACTATTTCTCCATAGGAGTAGTAAGCAATCTGTGTTATCTTATTCACGTGGCTTTCCAAATATCTAGGACTACAATCCTATTATCTTTTACCATGCTGATAAATTTTAAGTCTCAATTTTTTCATTTTTTTCCTTCATACTATTCTCAATGCATTGGAGTATCAAGGTCATTAATAAGAACATAATTAATTATGGAAGGACTGCAGTAGAGAATTGATTTGGGAAGCAAAGGGAGGTATAATAGAAGGATCATTTCCATAGTATATGCACTTCAGAAGTTTGTGGCATGGCATTCTGCCTGTTTGCTTATGACTATTTTTCACCAAAATCATTATCAAATAATAAAACAAATAATAACACCATGCAGAGTATATCAGTGACAGCAACATGCCAAATGACACAACAGGAGAGTTCACCCAAACCTCTGGATAAACAGTTTGGCCTTTAGTTGAATTCCATAACTCGAGCACTTCAGACCAAAGGTCTGATAAATGCATATTGTTCAAAAGAGCTTATTTACTGGATGTTAGCTTCTGGACAAATACATTTGAGAAAGATGACCAATAAGATACCAACAAGGACCTGAGTCACGTAGCTTGCATTTTTCTTAATAGTATAGGAGCTGCCAGTTCTGATCCTGCAAAACTGATATACAGTAATGTTTCTATTGTAGGTTGTACAGTGTTCAGATCTGAAGCAGGAAAGGTATTGCAGCTCCAATATGTTCTTCCATTTTATCAGCAACTCCCTAAATGAGCTATACTATTTCCTGGATTTACAGGGTACCTCCAGAGGTGGGATTCAAATTTTTAACAAGCGGTTCTGTGGGTGTGGCTTAAGCAGTGGGCATGGCTTGGTGGTCATGTGACTGGGTAGACATGGCTTGGTGGTCATGTTACTGGCTGGGCGTGGCCAACTCACATCGAGGCACGCATCTCCTTGCCTGGCCTCTCATGACTGTGGGGATGCTGCACCAGTCGTGTGAAAAATGATTATAAGTCACTTTTTTCAGTGCCATTGTAACTTTGAATGGTCACTCCACACAAGCAAAGTACCAGCAAAGGAGGGAAAAACACTCCAGAGACGTTCCTGAGACAGGAAGTCTAGTCCTGCCAAGAATGTAATAAGGGTTAACGGAGAGGCAGTTTCTGTAAGCAACCCCAGAATGTTTCCTTCCTGCCTTCCTTACAGGATTAGGCCAGTAATTTCTTCTAACAACCGGTTCTCTGAACTGCTTAGAATGTTAACAACCGGTTCTAGAGAATAGGTATGAACCTGTAGAATCCCACCCCTGGTTACCTCTGCAGAGTCGGGAAAATACTTAGAATAACAGAGTTGGAAGGGACCTTGGAGGTCTTCTAGTCCAACCCCCTGCTCAGGCAGGAAACCCTACACCATTTCAGACAAATGGTTGTCTGAAAACTTAAATACTTCCAATGTTGAAGCATTCACAACTTCTGGAGGCAAGTTGTTCCACTGATTAATTGTTCTAAATTTCTCCTTAGTTGTAGGTTGATTTTCTCCTTGATTAGTTTCCTTCTATTGTTTCTTGTCCTGCCCTCAGATGCTTTGGAGAATAGCTTGACTCCCTGTTCTTTGTGGCAGCGCCTGAGATATAGGAACACTGCTATCATGTTTCCCCTAGTCCTTTTCATTAAATTAGACACATCCAATTCCAGCAACCATTATTTGTATGTTTTGATGATTATCTGGAGGAAAAGTGATGACAGTATTGCCACAAGAAGAAACTTGCTTCGATTCAGAAGACATTATGGAGGCAGCAATAGGATGAAATTCATTTTTGCTGTCCTATAGACATTCTTTGCTTTTTTAACTCATACATATATTTCCCTGAAGTTACATGGCTACCATGCAAGTCCAGACAATGCTGCAGCCATTCACACTTTTTCAACTTTTTTTTTCATCTGATTTGCCACTTTCCCTGAAGTTGCCAGTTTCAATTATGGTTGCCAGCAATTAGTTTCAGTTCTCCTGATCCACAAGACCTAGTAGTTTCACAATTTTACTCCTGCCAGCTTCTCTATTGACTTTGCTGGTTGGAAGCTGGCCAGGAGGGTTGCAAATGATGATCATGTGACTACAGGACACTGCAACTATCATAATTACAATCTGCTTGCTAAAAGCATGAATTGCAACTGCAGGAAAGTTGTGATGGCCACAACGTTGAGGATGTATTTATTTAGTGTTGCTCAAAATGCATCTTTTACCACTACCAACCTCTTTATAGACTAGTAACAATCAAGAAGAATAAATATTTCAGAATAAAAATACTCCTCCAGTCTATGTTTCTACTCCTTTCCATGCTAATATGGCAGAGTGTGAAGTGCATGTCTTCAGTTATATGCTATTTTCTGCCCTATTAGCCAGAGCACATCTATCGAGTTCAATATGCTTTCCTACTATACTAGTAGCCTTATATAACTGCATGTACAGTCTTTTACATAATTATATTTTAACTATCTTGCCATTTTCTCCTATTAAACATTCTGTGTGCCTCCATGGTTGGTATGCATTTTCACTGATGGAAATTGGTCAAATAATTATTAGTTTATCCATGTTGTAGGGTTGCTAAGAAGCCCCTCACAACAGCTGACTAGTTTAATGTTCTGGCATGGTTGAAGAAACAGCTGATGAAAAGGGGGGGAACACTGAAGCATTTGTTTAGAAATGTTCTTCTGTTATAGTAAGGCTCCATTTATAAATGATTGATGATTGCCATAAATGGGTTACAGACATAAGCAATGTGCCTTACAAATGGCTGTAATTGATGTGCTGACCTTTTAAAATCAATAACACATGATTAATATTACATTAAATTATTTTTCATGCTTTGCAAATATTTAAGAAAATTGACTCTGTATCTATAGATCTACAATACAAGTCATTATAATCACTGACTTACGGGGTATTGAAGAACAAGGAAACTATATAAACAGGCTGTGTTATTCTGGAATCCCAGCTCTTAACAAGATGCTTTTAAGCATTACCACTGATGATAACAAGCTGTTCTTGAGCCTAGGCTGCCACATGCTGCTTCCCATCTTCTCTCCCTTTATTTTTGGACTCTGAGAAATGTGGGCCAGTAACTATATCACTAACAGGAAGTTTTGGATTACAAATAGATCAGATCCTGGACTTTCAAAGTCCCTTCCTAGCAACGCTTCAATACTCCATCACGAAGGGAGGGATGTGGACTTTGCTAATCCCTGGATGAGGAGGGTGCATTCCACAGGCAATCCAAACCCCAATGCTGAAAGAAAGCTCTTTGCATTGCTGTTTGTGATTTGAAAACAGTTTAAACCAAGGGTCTCCAACCTTGGCAACTTTAAGCCTCGGCTGACTTCAACTCCCAGAATTCCCCAGCCAGCAAAGCTTTGCTGGCTGGGGAATTCTGGGAGTTGAAGTCCACCAAGGTTTAAAGTTGCCAAGGTTGGAGACCCCGATTTAAACTTTATGCTTTCTTAAACAGGATAAGAACACAATTGTCAGCAAAGCAAAGAATGGCCAAAGGTATCCAATACAAGACTATTTTGTTAATGATTCTTAAGGGTTTTTTTAAGCTGGATATTTTGCCTTCTGTATTCTAGGAGTGCAAAACGGATAACCATGAATAATATACATTAGCCTTCCCCAATTAGGATATGCATCTGATAAAAGGGCATGACATTGGAAGAAGTCATTAGACTAGGTGAAACGTACCTTTTTCATTGAAAAGCATTCAAATTTGCTGCTATTGTATACTGCATGCTGTAAAATGGTAGAAAACACAAGAATGCATGGATTCAACCCAGGACATCCTCCATACAAGGATTCCGCACATGTTTCAAACCTAGTGCTGTGATTTCTGTGATCCTTCAACATTGACAGGGATTGACAGATGAGTCAACTTACTTCTAACTGTGCTTTGGCAGCACTCTTAAAGCAAGTTTCTTTTCTTTTTATTTTTTTGCTTGACTGGAACTGTAGGGAGAACTTATGGCAGTCTAATTTATCATGGGAGAAACACTTGCATCATCCCCATCTTCCAGCTCAATGCATCCTCTCCATTTTCCCCACAGAAGATCAGCCACCACAGTATCTTGCCAAGGTTCTCTCTGAAAAGCAGTAAAAGGATAATTCTTTGGCAGATTGCATTCTCTTCCCAGAGATATCACTTTTAAATTTTTTAGAAATTACAGGCAAATGCAATTGCCCCTGAGATCCAATCCCCAGAGGCCTTGGCTTTTTCTTCAGCATTCTATTATTTTATGTGCCCAAAACTATTCAATTAATATATAAGTTATTTAAATAAATAAATGAAAATTAAAATGGGGGTAAAGAAATGCAAAGTGCAAACTATAGTAACATAAAAGTGCTTGAAAACAGACATTATTCTGGCATGGTAACTGTAAGAAGCTTGTGGAGAAATGTAACATCAACACTAGTTATAATAATTGTAGGGAGGCACAATATAAGGAATAGAGTTCAAATCTATAAATTCTAGTGTTACAATTCTTGAAAACTGACTGTACTTTATAAAAGGCTTCATCCCTTTCTTCTTTTTATAGGATGCATCCATTGCACATAGGTTCCATTTGATGAGGGAAAAGCATCCTGAAAAATTCAGTAGCAGGTAAATACCAGTCTTTCCCGCTCGTACAATTCTTTATTCTTTTGTACTAGTTATAAGGTTTCTATAGTGAGACCAAATTACTTGCTTAAGCCTTCCCTGGTCTGTGCACCCTCTATCTAAATGTGTGGGTTTTGATTCATTTGGCTTGGACCACATGTCTGGAAAAGGGGGGAAGCTGATTTAGTTTTTTGCTTTTTGCTCAAACATGAACAAATTCCAGACACAGGATCTACTCATAGTGTACTCTGGCCTCATCCATTAGTAATTTATCTGGGAACCAAGAGAGGAAACTACAGGTGTCAAAGCACACTCTGTTTTCCAAGAAGATCCTTATGGGGAGAACAATTTAGTTTTAAAAAATCAGGTTCCTTGGTCTCATTTCCCCCTCCCCAAAGAACTCATATAAAAACTTTAATATTTTTCTCTTTCTCCTTCAGTTCAGTTGCTTTTATGCCATGTCTTTTATACTATAAACCTGAAGCCAGAATCTGATTATTTTAAATTGCATTGGTAATGTTTTTCAGTTGGAGAGTGAAATTAAAAATGCAAAGCAATGAAATCAATCTGTTACTAAATCATTGTTTTAGAACCTTGAGATCCAGGAACTCAAAAGCCATATCCCTAAAATTAAAAAGTCTGAGCCTAGGAATTTGTCCTGAGTTCTAGAACAGATAGCACTTACACCCTTCCATATAAAAATCCAATCCTAACCACCCCAAGGCTTTTTCTTAAATAATATAATCTAGGTGAGGAAGAGAAGTCACATTATTGCTATTGTTATCAAACAATTAGGAATCAACAAGAGGGGGAGGAGATGGGGAGGGGGGGACATGAAATATCCCTAAAACAGATGAAAAGAGATCTCAGTTTGTGACAGTCTTCTCCATACTGCTACCTGGAACTGCTTTAATCATTGAATTTTCCATTAGGACAAACAATTGATGTCTGAGTTACTGCACTCAAACTCATCTCATTTCTAGTTCCCTTACTAGAAGCCTTTCATCCTCAGCATAACTGCTAAGGCAACAGCCCATAAAATGTTATACACCCCAGTGCTTATGACTGCTTGATCAGGATGGAACACTCTTTAGTGGAAATCATGGTCTGATAGTGTAAAATATTTTATTGTACTTACAATCTGATACCTTGCCTATTTTGTTTTGACCATTGAAGAGCTACATTTGAGTCTTAGGTAGGCAAACTTCTAGTTTTAAAAAGCCCTAAAGAATTGCTTGGCAGGAAGAAATAAATAAGGGAAATGGTGCATGGCATTGAAATAGCCATTTATGTCATATTGTCCACCTGTTAAGAATCAGCCCACACATAGGCCATGAATATGTACATGTTATATTTGTTTTTAACAATTTACAAGAATAACAGTGTAAACATTCCAGCTTCTATTGATTAAAGTGCATGATGACATTGGTTCTCTTAAGTTGTGTCATACCTCACTGTCTGGATCAGAGATGGGTCTCTTGGGGAAAAAATGAGGATCTGAAATGATGAGGGTTGCTGAATGCTAACTGTATAACAATTATAAAAAAAATAAAGATTTCTCTCCCCAATCTCGGGAGAAAATGTAGGGGTTTTGTTTTTTTTGACAAGTTTGATTTTGACAGTAATTACAATTCTTAGCACAAATCCACATTTTCTGCTTGGTCCAGTGCCAATATAGGCCATTCACTGTTTCCTGGGGGCAGATTTTTTTTTTAAGCAAATTTTATTAATTTCAAAGACAAACAAATCATCATCAACCATTACATATTTGAACCTTTTTCCATTATATATTTTACAAGTCAGATAAAACCTTATTTTATACAATACAATTCTATTTTAAGCCATTTCCATATGAGCATGAAAATACCTCTTATCCAATTTCTCTTTACTTCTCTTTACTCTTATTCAATTTCACTATTATTATTTCATCTATTTCTTTCTGACTTGGTTACCATTATTCTCATTCTGTATTTCTACAAGGTTTTATTAATACTCTCAAATACATAAACACACAACAAACAAACATATAAAAAATCTTTTAGGAAAGTAACTTGGCCCCAGGTACCTCTCTTTATATGGGCTTCAATTATATTCATGCTCATCTTACATATCATTACCTATTTTATTTACCATTCTATATCTTCTATATAAACTTCTCCACACATTTCACTCTTCATAATTCTATCTTATTTAATCCATCTTAATTTAAATCATTATATTTGTATCTTTTGCCCATTCTTTATTATCCCTCTATCTCATTCCTTATAATGAAAAAAAAAGAATTTCTCCTGAAATCACTAATCAGAGTATGATGCCTTTCTATCCTCCCCCTAAATTAATTAGATTAACATTTAAAATAACACCTAATACCCAATCTGATTCTGCTTGGTACATTCTATCTACTAATTTTTTTTTTAATAATAATAAAAACGGAGTAATAAATCCAAAATGATTAAATACATAGTTAAATAATAAATCTAAATATTAAATCTTATAACATTCCCATTGCCTTTTCAAAAAACAAATGCTACTATAATAGTTTTATAATAACATCAATACCATAGTCATATTAAACTCTAATTAAAACTCAATATTCTAAACATTCCCTTTAATATTTTATTAAATTTTAAAATCAATCATTATTAAACATTTCAACATTTTAATTTCTTATTAACTCTTAAGTCATTCTAATTTTCTATTTCTAATACAGATGTTACAATACCATCTTATGTACCTTGCAAAATCTTTTTTAAGAAAATTGTACTTTACCCTTTGTCCCTAAAAAAAATTCCTCTTTTCCCATCTAATTTCAAAACTTTGTGGCTTTTCTCCGCCTTTCCCCTTTCTTTCTTCCCCCACCAAATCTTCCTACCCCCCCTTCTTCTAGCCTCTGCCTTGCTGGCATCCCTTCTCTGTTGTCTTCCCTTTTTCTTTTGTTTACTATCATTATATTTATTTTGCATCTTATTTTTCTCTTTCTTGAATGTTTTTTTTAGATCTTAAGTCCTTCATTTTCCTCGCTTTCTTCCTTCCTTCTTTCTTAGTTAAATTTTGGGATTCATTAAAGATGGCGTCTTCGTCTTCTTCTTCTTGTTGTTCTTCTGCCTCCATCTGTTGTATTGTTTGTTGATAGTTAACCAGCGCCATTTCTAAAAAAAGGAAGGCTTTTTCCATACCATCTTTACCGTCTGTTTTTGTTTGCTCATATTCTTCCCTCAGTTCCTCAAAAGAAAAAGCCATTATAGATCTTTTCTTTTCTTTTTTCCCTCTTTCTTCTTACACCAACCAAGATATTTAAAAAAAAAAAAAAAAAACAATCCCAAAATCCTCAATCAATCCAAGCCAAGACAAAATTCTCCCTTTCTCTTCCAGGGGTAGTATCAGACAAAAGAAAAAAGAAAATCCAAATCTGTATTTTAAAGCCTTATTGGAATTATATTTCTGTCTTCAAATCCTTAAGGCATCTCCTCCAACAAAATCAAACCAGATGAATATATTTTTTGTCCTCTCCCTTCCGACTTATCCCATAAAGCTAGTTTTACCTGGAAAAAAAACAGGTTTCTCAATATCCACTTATTAATTCCGTCGGGAGGGAGAATAAACTTTCCTTTCAGCACCTCAAAATTGCCGCTTATTTTCTCTTGTGGAAAGAATCATCCAAAAAGCCATCATTTCCAGGAATAATATTAAATGTATCTTAGAGTCCTGGATCAACCAAGAAAACTTTCACTCTCAAAAGCTTTCTCCTCTTCCTCCTGCGCATACTTGCCCAGCTGCCGGCTTCTTTGTGGCGGCCATTGCGGACCGCCGCTGCACCGTCTTGGGAAAAGGGGGTTCTGCCGGCCAGGGAGGGGGTCTGCAACACCCCCAAACCCCTCTCCGGATCCCCCCTATCTTCAGCTACCCCTGCAGGGTAGCCTAGCTCCGGACCCGTCCGAATCGGAGCACCAAAAGCGGCTAGCGCGGCAGGGATCGCTCAGAGTCGCAAATCCCTGCCGCTCGCGAAGCCGACAAACCGGAAGTCCTGGGGGCAGATATTGATGGCTTTGGCTGCCTCTACTCCCAGCCACCTGCAAATGTATTTCACAGCCATGTTTCTAGCTTCAGTTTAAAACTGCTGTTTAAAACCTGAGCCACATTAAGCTCTTCAGAGTAGATGGTCTCCAGTGACTTCTTCCGTTCTACAAGCAGACCCAGCACAGATTAGGTGTGTACCTGGCACATCCCTTTCCTTCTGGGGCTGGTTCCTGCCCTGGATGACCATTTTATCCTTGGTGGTTAGCTCCTGGTCAACAGATGCTGTTCTTGTTACAATCTTATGATTGATCCAGAAATGGCATATTAAGTCAGTCAGCTATCTTCAACCTAGGAAGCTTATGCTCCATTCAGCCTTTCTTTCGTTCAGTGGGCAGTTTTCTTGTTTTTGGAAGGTTTCGTGGAGCCTCCTCTTCTTGCTTTCTCACCTCCTGCCCTCACTTTTACAAAGCTTCCTTTCCTGTTTTTTTCCTCTTTTACATGTTTAAGATGCAACATAAGAACTTTTCTACTTTGTTTCCATAGACCTGAACAATTCCTCCTTGCTAACAAATTTTCCATAAATCTTCAGAGGAATGGAAGGACAACCAATTTTTATTTTGTTGGTTGATTGATTGATTGATTATTGCATGTTTGCCCATTTGAGCTACTGTTTTGCTCCTGACTGAGGTTTTATTCCACATCCAACAGGATTGATTATCAATAAGGGAGAATGTCATGGCAGATAAAAAGTATTACTGAAAGAAACTTAAGTTATTTATATAAAATCCTGGAGCAAAATGATCTCAAAAAGTATGCAGTATTCTAAGATTTGGAATTCTAAGATTTGGCAATTCTGGATATTTTAGATTTTGCTTGGAAAACGCCTAGAGTTTGGCTGTATATCCTTTTCCATTCATTCACACTTCATAATTACATCTAAATTCCAGAACCAGCAGAAACAGGCAATAAAGGCAAAACAGAATATC